TCGTATTCGGTAATCCATGCCTGCCCCTTTACAGGGGGGTCGGCGGCACCAGGGCGTTAGCCCTTTTACAATATGAAGATATGATACAGCCGAATTCGTATAGGTTGGTACATATTAATTCTAAATACTGTACATGTATTGCACACATAGTGCTATAGTGTTTTGCAGCTCAACGTCTGCAGATCGCAGTGGGGTGGCTGCAACATCGTTCCTTGCTGCGGGTGAAAATTTGCAAGCTGGCAGTGGCTCCTGACAATGCCAAAACGATGCCCTAGACGATGCAGATACAGACGATGGTGTCGCTAGTTTCCAAGCCCCACTATAAGCATGCTGCCAAAAGCGTGGTTTGGGTCATGCGCTGGATTTGTGTCATGCTGTACTTGATCAGCGGCATGCTGCTTCTAGTGGACGTGAACCTCCAACATCCATTACTAAGCAAACAAAAGACTTGAGAATTCAGCACAGGATAATCTGGGATGAACATCCCAATCCATCAAATCACCACCTCAATGCCGACTTGCAATTGACTAATCAACATACCCCAAAAAATTAAATCTGCATGGTAATAGTGTTGAGTACATGATCTCAAAAGAAAAAGAGTTACATTATCAGACTCCAGAGTTCCCCTGCGTTCTTTCTGAAGGCACGACTTTTCCGAAACATTTCCCTCAACGGTACAAAGGTTTTTTTCCCCCCAAAACAGGTACGACTTTGTCAGATGCCTGTATCTGATATGCGGCATACCTCTCCTTACAACAAGGCCTTTGAGGGTTCATAGAGCGGTTATGGCATGCTATGGCCCGATGGGGAGCCTCAAAATGTTTCATTGAAAAAGCTGACCCTCACCTGGGCTTTTTTACGAGGTATCATTGGCATCATGTCAAAATCATCTAAAACCCACATGATGCACTCAAGAATCAGCTTAAATGGGATCCCAAGAATGATCAACTTCTGTGGCGCTTGGGGGATCTTCACGACTTGAGCTATCACTCACCCGGATGCCCCGTCACTGGGTTTTCCAGGCTCATGTCAATGAGGTGAAATGCCTTGACATATGCCTTGACCAGTGAGGTCGGGCTCATGTTTGGTGGGGTCGATGGGGTCGATGGGGCCAATGACCTAATGCTGGTCCAGTAAGGTCAACGGTTGGAAACAACCAGCGAAGTAAAAGTCTTGCATGCCGACTCGACAGAGTAATCATTCCATGTTCAAGGGTGAATGGCATCCTTATATCCTTTTTCTGCTTTCCATCAGGTTGAGGAAAAGTATGTAATTCGATGTGCAAAATCACACGAAGTGTCATTACACTGCACTCTCTCCTAAGAACCCCGATATTCTTGCAGGGGTGCAAGAACAAGTTAGGATGGGAGTCCCTAATGATTAATGGTCCTTGGCTCTCCTGCAACCTCATGCCAGAGTTGATGAGGACACAAAAAACAATGGATGTGAACGTTGTTTCGGACGGGTTAAAAATAACAATACCTAAGAAGGGGGATGGAGGGGGTACATAACAATAACCATATATGTATATATATATACATATGAAGAATTGATTTCATTGCTTCCTTACTGTACTTGTTTTGAAAGAACCATGGAAGTGAACATCCCGTATTCCTGTTTGAACCATGTCACGAACTGTGATCTTCCAAGGGGTCAGCAAATTTCCCATGAACTGCGGTTCTTTCAAATAGGGCGTCCATCAAGGAATGCTTGGAATATGTTTTCCCTTCAGGAATTTCCATTGAATATTGGTTGTTTACCTTATTCCCCAAAAGATGTGGCTAAGCATCCTCGCAAATAACATGCGGAGTTCCTAACAAGTACAAAGTCTTCTCTCCATGGTTGTTAAAAGAAAAAATGGGTTTGTCTGAACACAGCTTTCCGGTACCCGATTCCATCCACTGGTTTATCATTTTTTCACTATGAAAATGACAATTTTTGGGGTATGCCACATTTTCAAACAAATCCATTTGATCTTATTGTTTTTTTAATATAATGTTATAAAGCTGTCAACATATCCGCATATTAGCCTTGTGAGTCCCCATTTTATTTTGGTTAACATCTATACCCTCTGGTTATTCAACGTAATTATGGAAAATCACAATGATTCATCGACAAATCATCATAAATCATCGAACTAAATGAACCATGTTCCATAGTAAACTGGTAAATGACCAGAGGCTATTTCAGATTAACAACATTTAACATCTTTAACATCCCCATTCTTGTTGGTCCAATCCCCATGGACCGCCATAAAATCCCATAAAATCCATTAAATCCGATATCCCCTTCAAATCACCCTAAAATCCAATAGAATCCCATTAAAAAAAAAAACACACATAAAAAAAATCCTAATTTTTCCCATGTCAAAAAACAACATTTCCACCGCAAAAATACCGCGTCGAGCTGCGATGATGGCCATACACACGAGCACCACGAAGGTGAAGCCGAAGGTACGGCGCAAGCGGCGCTGAACCCGGCCGATGGCACCTGAAACCAGGGGAGCCCCATGGAGTCCCGGAAGGGGATTTAATGGGAAAAATGCGGGGGTTTCATGGGATCTGGTGGGATTTTCATCAACTAGATGATGGTTGGCCTGAGAGCGAGTAGGTGTATAGGTACTCAGATGTGTTATGCAGTTGTATGATTTGCAGACGCCAAAGACTTGCATGAATATGTTCATGAGAACGTTACTTGAGATCATGTGAAAATGTTCATTATGTGTAGATGTCAAGATAAGAAGATGTGAAGATGTCAGGGTTTTACATACAGATATGCTGATACAGTAGGCTCTCAAACACAGACACACGCAAAGAAACATGTTTACACATAAAAACACAGACACGCACACACACAAAACCACACACACACAGCAGCTTTTACACACAGAAGCTTTTACACACAGAAGCCTGTACACACAAAAACTTTTACACACAGAAGCTTTTACACACAAACACTTTTACACACAAAAACTTTTACACACAGAAGCTTTTACACACAAACACTTTTACACACAAAAGCTTTTACACACAAACGCTTTTACGCACAGAAAATTTTTCCCATACACTCAGACACTTTTACACACAGAAACTTTTACACACTGACGCTTTTACACACAGAAGCTTTGACACGCAGCAAACTTTTACACACAGAAGCTTTTACACACAGACGCTTTTACACACAGACGCTTTGACACACAGACGCTTTTGCACGCAGAAGCTTTTTACACACAGAAGCTTTTACACACAGAAGCTTTTACACACAGAAGCTTTTACACAAAGAAGCTTTTACACACAGAAGCTTTTACACACAAAAGCTTTTACGCACAGAAATTTTCCCATACACTCAGACACTTTTACACACAGAAGCTTTTACACAAAGAAGCTTTTACACACACAGAAGCTTTTACACACAGGAGCTTTTACACACAGAAGCTTTACACACAGACGCCTTACACAGAAGCTTTTTGCACACAGAAGCTTTTACACACAGAAGGCTTTTACACACAGAACCTTTTACACACACAAGTTATTAAACACACAAGTTATTACACAAAGACGCTTTTACACACAGAAGCTTTTACACACAGACGCTTTTACACACAGAAGCTTTTACACACAGAAGCCTTTTACACACAGACACTTTTACACACAGACACTTTTACACAGACAGTTTTACACACAGACACTTTTACACACAGACACTTTTACCCACAGAAGCTTTTACACGCAGGCGCTTTTGCACACAGAAGCTTTTACACACACAGGAGCTTTTATACACAGACGCTTTTACATACAGACACTTTTACACACAGAAGCTTTTACACACAGAAGCTTTTACACACAGAAGCTTTTACACACAGAAACTTTTACACACAGAAGCTTCTTCACACAGACGCTTTTACACACGGAAGCTTTTACACACAGAAGCTTTTACACACACAGGAGCTTTTATACACAGACGCTTTTACACACACAGGAGCTTTTATACACAGACGCTTTTACATACAGAAGCTTTTGCACACAGACGCTTTTACACACAGACGCTTTTACACGCAGAAGCTTTTACACACAGACGCTTTTACACATAGAAACTTTTACACACTGAAGCTTTTACACACAGAAGATCTGACACACACAGAACCTTTTTACACACAGACACTCTTACGCAAGGAAGATTCTACACACAGAAGCTTTTACACACAGAAGCTTTTACACACAGAAGCTTTTACACACAGAAGCTTTTACACACAGACGCTTTTACACACAGAAGCTTTTACACACACAGAAGCTTTTTACACGCAGACGCTTTTGCACACAGAAGCTTTTACACACAGGAGCTTTTACACAAAGAAGCTTTTACACACAGACCGTTTTACACACAGACGCTTTTACACACAGACACTTTTTACACACAGAAGTACCATTCTTCCCCAGTTTTTGACGATCAAACCTAATTTCGTGCGAAATGGTTGCGCCGGACGCGTGAAAATCGCAATTTTACATCAGTTTTAGGCGACCGAACCTCATTTCGTGCGAAAGGGTTGCGACCGACACTTCAAAATTGCAATTTTACAGCAGTTTTTGGCGATCGAACCTCGTTTCGTGCGAAAGAGTTGCGACCGACACTTCAAAATCACAATTTTACGTCAGTTTTTGGCGATCGAACCTCATTTCGTGCGAAAGAGTTGTCGCGGACACTTCAAAATCGCAATTTTACGTCAGTTTTTTGGCGGTCGAACTTCGTTTCGTACGAAAGGGTTGCCGCCGAGGTTGTAAAATCGCAATTTTACGTCAGTTTTTGGCGATTGAACCTCATTTCGTGCGAAAAGGTTGTCGCGGGCACTTCAAAATCGCAATTTTACCTCAGTTTTTGGCGATCGAACCTCATTTCGTGCGAAAGAGTTGTCGCGGACACTTCAAAATCGCAATTTTACGTCAATGGTTGCCGCCGAGGTTGTAAAATCGCAATTTTACGTCAGTTTTTGGCGATCGAACCTCGTTTCGTGAAAGGGTTGCGTTTCGTGCCGTCTCGTTGGCACTGCCTCGCGCCTTAAGAGAGAAATAGAAAAGAAGGAAAAAGAAGAGGGCAAGAGAGCAAGAGGGCAAGAGAGCAAGAGGGCAAGAGGAATGTGAAGATGTGAAGATGTGAAGATGTGAAGATGTGAAGATGTGAAGATGTGAAGATGTGAAGATGTGAAGATGTGAAGATGTGATGTGAAGATGAGAAGAAAGATGTGAAGATGTGAGGATGTGAAGATGTGATGTGAAGATGTGATGTGAAGATGAGAAGATGTGAAGATGAGAAGATGTGAAGATGAGAAGAAAGATGTGAAGATGTGAGGATGTGAAGATGTGAGGATGTGTGGATGTGAAGATGTGAAGAAGAAAAGATGTGAAGATGTGAGGATGTGAAGATGTGAGGATGTGAGGATGTGAAGATGTGAAGATGAGAAGATGTGAAGATGAGAATATGTGAAGATGAGAAAATGTGAAGATGAGAAGATGTGAAGATGAGAAGACGTGAAGATGTGAGGATGTGAAGATGTGAGGATGTGAAGATGTGAAAATGTTTGACAGACCCCCACTATTAGAAGAACCCTTTGCTCAGACGCTCTCGAAATATAATCACTACTCTGGTTGTTGTGGGGATCAAATCATCCAATTTTGTGGGGTGAAACTTGTTGTCTTTCTCACCCACTAAAGTTTCATAAAACCGCATTGCCATGCTTGGTAGAAGTTGTCCATCTTTGGTAGAAGTTATCCATGTTTGGTAGCAGTTGCCATCGCACTCGCATTGTCATCGAATGACATCGAATGACCGTATGACTCTCTTTTTTTGAGGAAGGGGCGGAGGTTGCGGGGTAACTTGCTACAGTTACAACACATGGGCTGGTGGAAAGTCTGCCGGGCAACGCTGCAAATAGGACAAGGAAAATCTGGGAGAATCCCAACATTTGGGACACCCATTTGTTTGCCTCACTATTGATGAAATCCCTTCGAAATGAGTTATATACTACATATATAGATAGTTGTACGTTCTCAGAATGCTTGCTGCTATTCTTGGTCAAATTCCCATTTTAATTGCTGACATATTAATTTCTCGCTGGTGAGGTCTAGCTTGTTGTTGCTTTAAAAAAAATCTGGGTCAAGTATGAGCAAATCATATCAAATGTCCTTTTTCTGTAGCCAAACCTTCCCTTGCAATTGCTTAAATAACACCTATTCTGACTGCTCTCTATCAGATCACATAATGTTTTCCCGACATAATGTTCGTAAAGCAATAGTAACCCCACCCCAATTTTACCATAAATGGATGGTATAAACCATCAAAAACATGGGTGGCTTATTATTGCCTTACTAACATTTCTGCAGTTTTGGTGGTGCAATGCCCTCCAGCACCGAAAATCTTGCCGTCCAATGACTCGGCTTCACAAAGATAGGTGTCTTGTTGCCAGAGTGGACCAGCCTGGATGCTGAACGAATCACGGCCGTTTTACCAGTGGGATAAAGCCCATCACTTATAGGTCTTTAAGTATAGGTTAATCCAGTTACTAGTAACTATAGAAATACTATATTAAAACTAGTTCCTATATCATCACATACAGATAATCACCTACCTATATAGGTCTTCCAGTTACTTACTAGGTGATTATGATCCGTATGTGCAGGGGAGGGTTGAGTTTTGAACATTCGTAGTCATAACAACTGGTTGGCTGTTTTCACTGGAGGAGGTATCATATCCCAACAAACACTTTCAGGTGATGTTCAAATCGCCGAAAAGGGGCATTAGCCAACAACTGTCAAACCATCCGATTTTCTCGGGTCAAGGATTGCTGATCCAGCGATGCGAATAGGGGATGGAAAGGCAGCACATGACACATACAGAAATCACAAAATGTTCGGGGCATCTTGGTATCCAAGGAATCATGATTCTCTCTCTCTCTCTCTCTTTCTCTATCACATCTAATTTCTGAATGTCTATTCTTCCTTTTTTTGCGCATGTATACAGAACATGAAAATCCTGCAGTGTTCTTTCCAACTCCCAACAGCCAAAGCTGTTGATGCTAGATCTAGATGGATCGATGTCATTCCCGTCGCATTCATACAACACACATATAATGTAAAGTGTAAACCCTGGATGAATAAACTCCTGGGCTGTCTAATTGGGGTACCAATTAAGTATCATATTATTACTATTTGGGTCCCCCATAATTCATAGACTATGGCAGTGGCTTATTCGGGGTTGACATGAAAAACCATCATGGACTGTCTTGGACTGCTTACCAACTTCCAAGTCGCCCTCCACGTCAAGCCCTGGAGACCTGCAGAGAAGATCCTCTTTTTCAAATGCAAGCCTGTCACCGTCGCTTGGATCACTTGGATCACGGCCAGCACCGGAGAAAATGGCGACCAACTGATGTGAAAGGATCAATTTTGTTGGGCACGCTACGAAACACTCTGTACACATCTACATATCCATATATATATATATTTTTTGCTGAGAGCTCTTTGCTGCCATGTCGCTGCGGCTCGGCACGTGCTCCGCACGTCAAATTCTGAAAAAAAGGCCTTAGTGTGTCACCTGGCATAATCAGGACCATAAGTCATGCCATATTCAGTCACCTGCATGGAACGACAAATGCTGAGCAAATGCTCAGGGACACACAGCTGACCTGCAGCGGCCTCAAACTGGCCAAAAGCTGAAAGGACAGCGTCAGAAATCGCTTTGCAAAGGGATGGCGGGTACTCCTTCAGTGAGGAAGTGCGCCATTGTCCTATGCTATCCTTGCCTATCGATTGTCCCTTTGGGATCTCCGTGCGCACCCTGTTGGCATGTAAGTGCTGCATCATCGATGGCAAATTGACACAAAGGAATTCTGTGGGTTTGGCCGTTTTGGCCCCTAGAAGACCTTGCGCGAAGCGAATTCTCTCTACACCTGGCAATTGGCAAATCACCTCCATGATAGGTAGGCGCCAAATGGAAGCAGCGTCCTCCAGATCTACTGGTTCCGCCGGGTGTTCGGCAATTCCTACTGAGCCAGCTAGTGCAATCTCTACAATGGCTTCTAGCGTGAAAATCAATAGGCTGTTGCCCGTCAAAATTTGGGATAGCTCCCGAATGCCTAAAGACGGAAGTCCCCACAACTCAGAAAGCGTCCTCAGAACACGGGGAACGCCTCGTTCTGCTGCTGCACCTTGATCAGGATGTAGGACTCCACGCACACGCGACCACGTCTCGCATGGAGGACCCGCGACAAATCCCACAACATATTTGTCACGGATCGCTGTCAACCACAACCTTCTGGTGTCTTCTCTGGTGGCATCGCCCCATCGGTCATTGATGACGATGTCCAATGATACTACCACCAAATCATATGGCGCATCTGTCAACATGTCCTTTTCCAGGTAGTATTGGAGGTCTCCCAAACGTCTGCGGCCAGCAAAGGCGTGCAAGACAATGCGCGTCCTTCCAATCTGCCTGGTCTCAATCTGAGGCTGCATCTGCATCCACACACGCATCCAGAAGTGACATCAACGGTGACAGTCATCAATAGTCTGTTCCTGGGTGTGCGGTCCGTCAGAAAGGCACAGGAAATCCCATGTGGTGAAATCAATGATCCGCTCAATCTCAAATTTGAACTGCTGCATATCAAAATGGAACATGGTCGCATCCTCCTCCGTCAAGTTGGCCATGAAGAACTTGATGGTGTTGTGCATGCGCGTCCATGAAATCGCGTGACATGAAATCCACTCTCTTACTGCACGGCCAAAAAGTGCCACATCAAGGGATTTGTCCACATGCTCCGCCACATACTCCACAAGGTGCATGTGCAACGCCTCGTCAATGTCATGAAAATCTCGGGGGCGTCCCAGCATTCTTTGTGGTCCTTCTGCTTGTAACGGCGGGAGGCAACGATCATGTTTGTGTGCAAGTTCACGATCTGCTCGAGATCCAGCCCCTGGCGCGTTCTCCCTGCAGACAGGACCGGCGAAGACAACGTGCCGGCATGCTGAGGAGTATCGCAGGTGTGCTTTCATTTTGCTAAATGTGTGAAATTCACGCAAACATGCCTGACATTGGGTCTGATCAATGTAATAACGGAAGACAGACTGCTGGTTGTGCTTCTTGAACATGTGCGCTCCCTCACCTGCTCTTGTACGACACCGGAGCTTGCATCCCATGCAACCGTAGATCTCCTCTCCTGTCTGTGTGGGTTCTGCTGCCGACTCCTCCATGTCGATCTCGGGGACATGGGCTTGGAGCCTTTGTTGAATGCGATCATGAAATGCCACAACGTGGAAGGCCTTGCATCTCTGCAACATGTCATGGTGACAGGCTCGGTTCAATAATCGCTTCCAATATTTGGGATGATGCTGCAGGAGGTCAAACCATTGTTGGGCATGTTGCCTCGGGTCTTTCAGAGAAGAAGAATGGTGTAGCTGGTTCCACATCCATATCATGTCATCTTCAATGAGTTGAATCCAGTGGGAATCTTCACCGAGCAAATGCCAAACATCCGGAACTCCACATTGAAAAAGTGTGGCCAAATATCTCAATCTCGCACGTCTCAACAAAACTACAGGGGCCGGTTGCTGAATGGTCGCCAAGACTTCAGAATTTGAGTGATGCCCATCATGTGGCCACTTGAGCAGTCTTTGATACAGCTTCAAAACTGCAGTCTCAAACTTCTTCATTGTTCGTGCATCATGTGCTACCCAGGAATCTGCTCCATACTGTAGTTTTGTGACGACCAGGGTGTTGAAGATCTCAACCTTCTTGTGCAACGGAATGTTCTCATTGTGATAAAGGAGGCGTCTGTGTTGGTTGAAAGCCTGGTGCGCTGTAGCAACCTTGATCTTGACCTCCCCATTCTGATCGCTGGTGTGGTGGAGTTGTCCACCTAAGTGTTTATAGGACTTCACAATGGAGACACTCTGCACCTGGTGCTCACAGATGACAGTGAACTGCCCACTGCTCAATGGTCCATAGTGTTTAATTTTCATCTTGCGACTGCCGCCTCCCCTGAAACTCAAAAGCAGCTCTGTCTTCCCTCGGCTGAGATTTGGTGTCATGAGATGGGTGCGACAAAGGTCCAAGAGGTAGCCTATTGCAGGCCCCAATCTGCTCTCCAGGATGTGAGGTGATTCCCCTTGAACACAAAGACAGAGATCATCCATCCACGTTGGTCCTAAATAGGACTTCCTGGGCAGAGATCCATCAGCTTGCACCTTGTCCTGGAAGAACGGTGGCTGTGATGTCACCGGCAATCTCGCAATGATGTTGTGATCTTCCAAAAATCCTTGGAGCTTCTGCAACACAACGCTCCAGGTGAATCCGAAGATCAGGTCCGCAAACGAGTCACCAGGTCGCGTGCCAAGATGAGTGGCAACGACGTCCGCTTGCCCCTGCATCCAGAAGTGAGTGTTTCGATGAATTGCCCGGATGCAGTTGCGCGCCGTGAAACTCAGCCCTGCTTGTTGTAATGCAGTCCTCTCATCGAGCAGCTGGTGGAGGTCCTGCATCGTATCAGGCGGGAGGTTGAGACGGTGCAAAACAAACGCCAAGAGCTCGTCTGTAGGCTTGCCACCCATTGAGATTTCTCTCAAGATGCGGTAGAATGCCTCCGTCAGGTCAAGGAACAAAAGCCCAGCTGATAAGCCGCAGTCTTTGGCCCTTCTGAGGAAGGCTCTTGCTTGGTGCAGTGCAAGTTGCACCGGCACTTTGCGTCTGCCGCCCAGCTGTTGGGCTTGTAAAAAGTGTTCGTACACTTGCGCTTGATGTTGCCTCAAACTTCTATGGATCGTCTTGCCCAAATGCGAGGAGATGAGAAGCGAACGGTATGAGGTCACTTGGCTTGTTTCTCCCTTGCCTTTATAGGCCGGGACAAGTCTCCCGCCTTTGTACAAGAGTGGTTCTTGTCCATGGATGGCCACTTTCATCATCTGTGTGTACATGTTCACCGCAAGAAAATCAGCATGTAGATGACATACTTCACCAGGGATGTCATCGGGTCCGCGAGCTTTGTGGTTGGGCACTCTTCGGAGCGCAATTTCCATGTCAACCAACGTAGGAACTTCACTGATGGAGACATGGCACTCTTCCTGTCGCAAGCTGTGCAAGTCTTGAATCCAGTCCTCACGCAGTTGCTCCAGTGACACCCTCTGTCCACCTTCCATGTGTTGAAAAAAGCTGATCCAAACCCCCATTGCTTCTGTGGGCAACGTACATGGTTGTTGTTCAGCATCGTGGATAAGTGGCAATGTCTGCTTTTTCTGTTGCTTCATGTTGGTCGGGCCGATGAAAGGCTTGAGAGTTCTTAGGAGGTCAGAGGCAGCTGTGCGTTCATCAAGGCTCGCAAGGCATTGGTTCATGATCTGATGCTTGGAGGACTGCAACGCTCTCCTCATCTGTTGTTTGAGTTGGTGAAGACCACAAACAAACTTCAGCTGTAAGCATCTCAATGTGGAGCCATAGTTGAAAACTTCCTCCAAGTGGGGCTGCTCAGTCCCCAGTCGCCATGCTTGGAAACAACTGGCAAGACTTTCGCGTCCAATTTGCCTCCTCAGCATCTTGCACTTTTGCCGAAAATGGAGCTTTGTCACTCGCATCTGCCATATCTCCTCTGTGACATACACCTTTTTCGCACGACCATGTTGCTGTGGGAGATGTGTCTTCATCGTCTCTTGGAGATGTCGCACAAGTCCATTTGCATGTTTCTCCACATCAGTGCACCATGCCGCCGGCTGATATTCATGTAAGGCCTGGGTGAAGTCCTCATTGGTGAAGTGGGAAAGGTCACCAACAAATCGCTGGCATTTTCCCTCACTCTTGGCCGGAACTTGGATCCATGTCTTCCACTGCAGTTGTAGGGCAACAACTTGATGGTCCTCATGCAGTTGCGCGAGGTCATACTCATGCAGGACTTGTGACCACGTACATCTCTGGAGCCACCCTTGCGGTACTGCAATGTGATCAATGCAGTGGGTCGACCTACCGTCAACGGCTGTCCATGTGTGATGATCTCCTACATGGCATGCCGTGGTCGCTGGAAGACATAGTCCATGCGCATGGAGCGCTTCCTTGAGGAAGACAGTGCTGGAAGACGTTGCAAAGCCAGCTGTGAACACTGTGGCACCGTCTGCTGGGCCTGGTGCTGCATTCGCATCCATCATCCAGAAAAGTGGGTCTTGGTCACAATGTTGTTGTAGGATGGACTGCGTGTGCATCCACCACGCTTGTCGCTCTCCAAGAGGTCTACCACTGTGAGGAGCATGAGTGTTGAAAATCCAGAAGCTGCAAGTGGCGTTGTCACATCGCAGGAGCATCCTTCTTTCATCGCTGTGGACTACACAGAAGTCGATTCGGTGCAAGTAGAATTCCTTGCCATGGCTTTGCGCTTGTCTCCATCCAATGGGCTGCTCAAGGTTAATCCAGATTTCAACACCAAGTTGACCATCAATGGCTCCAGAAGAAAATACCAGGATGTTGTTGGCAGTACGCAAGCCTCTTTCTGTTCTAGCTTCCTGGATCCCCATGCAGTTGATGCGAAAATATTTCATCTGAGTCTGGATGTAGTGAAGTTTACCACTATGTCCTTGGGGCCCTCTCGAGAGTGACTGTACATTTGCTGTCGCAAGGCAAAGACCACAGTCAACCTCCAAATGTCTCATGCGCCTTTGTGTTGCTAGTGCGCCTCGCTGGCCAGCTTCTTCAGGATCTGGGAGATCTGGTGCCGGTACAGCAAAGCCATCTTCATGCCACGGTGGAATACCATAGCGCTCGCCAAAGATCATCCATAGGTGAGTGAGATGGTGTTTCCAGACCCTTAAATCAATCTTCTGGCGATAGTGATGAAAGGACTGGCAAGATTCTGCCTTGGCCGCAAAGTCGACAAATTCGTTGAATGGATCACCTGCGTGTGCTTTTGTATGATGCCAGAGCAGCTGACCCTGTGGCAGTGCACACTGTAGGGCCTGAAAAGTGCCGCGCATCAAGCGGTACGACTCATCTGGTTCAGCTGCGCCCAGTTTTCCAAATGCTTGACCCCCAGTGGTGCAGGAGTCAGTACATATAACAGTCGCAACCGTTGTGTTCTGGGCTAATCGCCATAACCCTGCAAAGGTGATGGCTGCTCGTTCTGCTTGATCTGATCCAATGCGTTGGGATCCTGTGTACGCTTGACCTTCTGGGTTGTATTGCGCTGGATGTGCAAGCCATCCAAGTGCATGGATCACATTGTCCGTGTTCTCCGCGCCAAACCTCTCCCCCAACACAAGAAAAGCCCACGTATCTGCCAGGCCAAGCTCATCTGCTCTTTCTGGTGGCATCCTGCTTCCTTCAGGCCTTGAAGATCCGTCCGTGTAGATAAGTAGGCGGTCATAGGAATCCAAGTCAATGTCTGCTTGAGGTGCTGGACAAAGTGCAGTTTCAATTGCTGCTGGCAGGCCTTCAAGTTTGAAATCTCTGCAAAGGATGTCAGACGCTGATGCAAAGAAATCTTGGAGGTCTTGCTTGGTAAAGCCTGGGATCAATCTGCACTCTGTGTTTTGTGGGGTCAATCTGTCCAGATCTATCAGGGGCTGTGGCGTCAGATTTCTCCACTGTGTTGGATCGGGCCATGAAGTCCTCATTCTTGTGGGTCCATTTGCGCTCTCTTGCATTGGTTCTTGATGAGAAAAAAGGATTTTTGTCCAATCATCGGCAAGATGTTCTTGGCGTACGATGACCGCTCGAGGATAGTCAAGTTGGCACAGAAACTGCATCAATTGGTTCTCAGTGAGCTTACTAGAAGCACTGTGAACGAAGCAGCCTTGCTCGTCCTTGACATCTTGATGGCAAAATAAATAATGGTAGAGCATTGTCCCTGGGGTTTGCTGCATTGTGGGACTTGAAACGCAGAAAAATTTGTTGTGTGGATCGCAATCAAATGCCCTAACCTGATGTCCCCAGTGAATCAGTTCTTCCGTGACCTTCTCCACCGTGACAACTCCTTCAATTTCAATGAAGTTTGGTAGTGCACCTAGACAACCACCATCCAATAATTCAACTGCGTGGATCTGAGTTGGAGCTTTCTTGTCCAGCTCCAAATCATCTTCTTTCATCTCACAGGGCCCATGGGTGTGAGCCACCTGCCCATGTGTTTGGCGCTCCTGTGTGTTGATGAGGGTAGTGGACAGCTGCAAGAGGATTGGTCCAATGGGTCGAATGGGTCTGACATGCACAAGTATGCCCATGCCACTTCTGCCCATCCATGGTCGACCTCTGTGCAGTTGATATGGTCCATGCCATACTTCGCAGTGATGTGTCTGCGGACTCTGGAGACACTGCATGCGGTATCCCATGCCTTCCACGATGCGCTCCATGTACACGTGCTCATGTGTGGTCTCTGCCATCTGCATGCTGGGGCCCCTGAGCTCCGTGGCAGCATCATGAAGGTATAGGGTGACCAGGTTCGTGACAAGGCTCTCATGTGGATTCTGGATAAAGATGGTGTGGCCTGCAAGGTCATGTTCCAGCTCCGGTGGATGGGGATCAACCAGGGTGAGCTCATGTTCTTCATGATGAACGACATGCTCTCTCCAGACTTGTTTGATTTGATCTTCCCAGCGTTCAAACGTCTCATAGAGTCGTACTCTGCGGTACTGTTGACACTGGTATCTTTGCCTGTCATGATCAACGAACCATACTGCAAATTCCACTGACTTCTCCTCCTCGTTGCAATGTTGTGCCTTATCGCTCCACTGTGCAAACAGGTCTTGAACAAATTCACTTTGCTGTTGGATCATGGGACATCCAGGTCGGAACGCTGGCGCATTGGGGTTCCACCTCATTGGCTCTGTGCGACCAGTCCCTGTCCTTTGCATCAGTGTCAGCCCCTCATCTTCTTCTTGGTCCCAAGCTTGGGCACTCATGAATGTGAGGTCTTGGATGATGGTGAGAAGCGAAATGCCATGGTGCGTCATGATGTGCAATCCTTCTGGAAGCTGTCGATCACCATGCCAAATCATACATTGTAGTTCTGAAAGCTGAGGATAGCATGCAGGCACCTTGTCAATGGCAACAATGACATGCTCCTTGAGAGTGATGCGAGGCAGGAAATGTGCAGAATGTTGGAAAGACGCAGCAGGGTCTCTCGAATCAACCACTGTAATAACAGCTGCCCGCTCATCTTCTGGTGTTCTTTGAAGCAGGAGCAGGTGTGGAAGGCACGTCGGCTGCATTCTTGTAGTTGGTGGTTGTGGGTCCACCACATAGAAATCCACCGGTTGTCCATCTTCCAAAAGGTCGCTCCACCTGCGTAGAAATTGTTGATGCCAGGCTTCAAAGTTACCCGCAATCCTCACTGTGCGAAATTGTGCGCAGCTTCGATGAACTGGATGATTGAGGAACCAAGTATTCACGTAGAGTACTGGTCCTTCTTCTTCAACTTCAATACCTCCATGTTCTTCTAACTGCTCCATGATGCGCTGGATGTGTTCCGGTTGTTCATCTAGACCAGGTCTTGGTACTATGCCTCCAGGAGCTTCTTGTTCCAGGGTATTGACATAGTCTCGAGTGACATCCTCGACATCATTCTCAGCTCGATCCATTGGTGATTCTGTGTCAATAATGCATTCTTTAATAGGATTGATAAACCAAGGTGTACTTGGTAGTGGTGGAACTGATGCTTGTAGCAATGCAACCTCTTCTTCCTCTGCATCAGGTCGCAGGGGTACTATTGGGTGGTCAATGATCGTGTCGTACCAGCCCAACATGTAGAGTGCATGTCGATCACATAGTTCACTGAGTGCTACTCCTTGATGACAAGCTGTTGCCACACATCTCGTTCCGATGTGGTTTGCAATGTGTTCACCAGGTGGCAGCGCAATTCTAATATAGACACCATGGCTGAGTTCCATTGGTCTGGCATTGTAGGGCGACACCACATTGCCATTGCACCAGAGGATGCATGACTGTTGCGTGGTCCTGCAATACTCTGCCAAGCCCAATCGATGTAGTAATGTGATTCTGCCAATGTGCCTAGGAAGTCTTACAACTCTTCGGACTACTTCAGGCTGTGTCATTGGGTTCGCTGCATGGAATTCAACATCCAGTAGTACCAATTGCAATGGAGAACCTTGTGCGATGTCCTCATGACGATGCCCAATCAGTGCTTCTGTACCTGCGTCAGCTAAATCACGTGGTGCATGCCGAACATGATGTAGATAGAGCAAGTTGTGCTGGCTGATTCCCAAGGCTTGTGCTGCACTGCAATGCATGGCTTCTTCATCATTCCAGTCAACACGTAGTGGGACTGGTGCTTGATCCATTGTGAATATGAGAGTAGCAAACCAATCATGTTGTCCTCCTTGCGCGTGTGAACTGACGGTTCCCTCATCGTCAGAGCTGTACTCATCAGGCGCATCAAGAAACATCTCATCGGGATCCACTGCTACATCCCCTCTTTCCACAATTCTGTTCTCAACTTGAGGATCAGGTCCAAAAGTTCCTTCACGTGCATGATTGCCCATGGACATGAAAGAAGATTCATCTGTGAGTGGTTGCCGTAAAGGTCGAAGGAGATTGGTGTCTTTGACCTTGACATCGCTGGGATATTTCCATCTTTGAAAAAAATGCTCTTGCTCTTCACCCACAAAGAGTTCAGCAACATGATGAAAACGAACCCTCAAGTCTCCATTGACACGTTCAGCAACTTCCCTCTGTTGTCGGCCCTCTTTGCAGTGTAGTAGAGGATCATCATTCATGTAAAAGGCTTGATCCAACGCCTTGATGCTTGCTTTCCACTCATTGAGAAAGTCAGGCTCTTCCAGTATGGAATGCGTCCATTGATGGATGACATAGTCCACCTGCTGGAAGTGCCTTGCATGTAGCCCTTGGCAAACCTCCATCTTGTGGTCTATTTGCCGGGCCCACCAAAAGGCTGTAGTGCTGCTTGTCCATAACCAGGCTGAGACTGCCTGGCGGAATCTCCTTCTTCCCCTGGATTTGTTTTCTGCTTTTTGAGGGCATGTTCTCCTTGCTCTGCAACTGGGCGCGTTCGAAGCGCATCCAGATTGGACACCATTGCTGTGATGTTGGCCTGGATCTCCTCGGCTGTGGCTATCCGATCTGGTGGATCTTCGTCCATGCCGTCCGAGACTTCCTCGACCTCGTCCACATTGTTGGCATCCTGGCGGTCGTTGTCCTCCTTGGCAGTGTCGTATTTCTGCTTGGCCTCGACCACTGCTTCTTTGGCAGCCGCCACTCTCTTCTCCAAATCTGCGTCCTTTTGCGCAAAGTCTGTCGCAAACGACTTCCAGCGCTTGACCGATTCTTCGATGTATTGGTTCCAGGAGAGATGCAAGTTTGAGCGTGCCGTTTGAGCCTGCTGCAACGTCTTGCGCTTCTTCTCCAGTTTGTCGAATGCTTGTCTTACTGTCTTGGCCGTCACAGGCGGTGTCTCTGGTGGTCTTTTCGCTTTCTCGATCACCGTTTGCACTTCGTCCGTGATCTGCAAGTCGGAAGCCTCGATGGCATGGACCAGCTCTGTCAACAAAGTCGACTCTGCGCTCCCCATCGCAGGCGTCGTTGTCGATGTAGCCATTGCACCATGCGCAGATGTTTGCCATGGCGGTTCCAATGCTGGTGCTCCATAGCTTCCGGGCTTCTCCTTGTTCTTCTTCTTGGGTGTTTTCGGTCTTTTGCGTGGTGAAGGTGCTGAGTGATCTTGGTATCCTTGATGATGATCCGCCTTTCTGCGCGGTGAATAGCCTCGATTTTCCCAGTCTTCCCTCTTCCACTGTCTCCTTGAGGTCGATCTTGTCGATTCTATATGTTGTGACTTCTGTCCATGAACGTAGTGGATGTCTATGCACTTCTCCCAGGGGCTGTAACAGGACCCGCATTGCGTCGCGACCTGCTTGTTCAGCCTCTTGCACCAGTAACATCGCCACGGCTCTTTCGTCGTCATCGCTTCGGAAAGACGTCGAAGAAGAGCTGGGTCTCGGGAATGGTGTCTGCTCAAGCGCCGACGAATCTCGGCAAGCTTGCTGTCTGAGAGTAGGATCCAACCACGTCGATGTAGATGCCAATGGTAGCGGGCAACTGCCCGCTGTCTGCGTTGACGCCTCCGCTTTGTAGGGGTAATCCTTGAAGAAGAGCAAGATCACCGCAACAAATGCCAGGGCGTAGTTCATGTACAGGCAATAGATGGTGGTCAGGTCGAAGCAATACTGCAGGACGAAGTCAACTGCAGTGAGCCGCAATCCAGATGCCTCCGTTGCCAGTCAACCCAGATTTATACGTGGCTGGGACCACAGAAACTGAGGTGTTGCCTGGGTGACTAGTCCAGGCAGAGCACAGATGCTCCAATGCGCCAGCTCAAGCTGTCCAGGGATGATCCAGTTCAGACAGGAGAGTGGGCCGCACCGACAAAGGCCAACCGCGATGGCAAGCCCGGGGGTTACAGGAACACACCCCCTAAGGTGAAGGTCACAGAAGCTACCGTGGGGCAATCCCTAGTAGTTCCAGCCAAAACCTTTATATATATATCCATATATATATATATATTTATATATATATATATATATTTATATATAATATATTTATATATATATATTTATATATATATAATGTGTGCGCGTAAACAACTGTTTTAAGATTCTACCTGAGCCCAAAATAATCCAAACACATGGTTCATGCCCTCGCGCTATGGGAATGCACAACTGCTGCTTTGGGACTCTTGGGAATTGGAGGATTTCGGAGAACAGCACTGCAGAAATTCCATGGTGTGCAAATCCCAATGGACAACTAGGCAATGAGCCAAACGTGGCCAAACGTGGCCAAACGTGGCCAAACGTCGCCAAACGTGGCCAAACGTGGCCAAACTATTAAAACCCAGCAATCTCACAGTTGGTTATTTTTCTTTCTCTTTTCCTCCTGCATCACCCATTTTTGAGGCAACCCATGATCAAACTTCATCTCCAATCTGTGCCTTTCCGCATAGGCTGCCATGTGTGCCAATTGCACCTGGTGGGTGAACCCAATCCACCGACTAAGTGGATATGTCATGGGGATTAGGGATATTTACTCGGGATATTGTTTAGCTGGTTTAGCTGGTTTTTATTAGAAAGTGATACAAAGTGGCTAATGGCCTGGTAAGAGCCCCACCCTTGAGCTTTGCAAGAAATCCACGCAATCCACCACTGGATTGACCCTGAAAGTGCTACGGATCACAACAAGTCAAGAAACACAAAGACCACCAAAAAATACTATAATTAGTCGCTATGCAAGCATTCCTTATCATTCCGTGTGGTTCTGCGTTTTTTCAGCGAAATCTATCCCCTTTTTCAGCACCATCCAAGGGAAAAGCCGAGTAGGAACCATCCCTGCTTGAAAATGCGGTTCCAGCTATAAGTGGATATATTCTATAACTATAGTATACCATAGTTATAGGGGTTGAATCCCAACTTATATATGGAACTTATCACAATAGTTGCCATGGTTATCATCGATTTTGGATATTTTTTCACATCAACTGCACCCGTGGCCTCTGCATTGGTGAGTTTGGCTTGCAATACGCCGACGCTCTCGCGCTCCTGCTCCTCCTGGTGAACGGCTGAGTGCTGACACGAGTGCTGAAGAAGCTATACGAAAATCTACATTATTGAACACACATGTATATATATATATATACCTGGAAAACCGTATGGACATTTTTTTTTGTCCATTATGGGTTTTACTCGTAACGGACTTTTTTTTTTTCAATTGCGTATTTTGGTTTTTGATTGTGAAGGGTTGTTACAATTCCTTTGACAACACCGGGTTCGGACATCCTCCGACAGTCTCCAAAAGAGGAATTTCAGCCCGAAGTGGAGTAAATTGGGAGTCGTGATCAAGTACCCAAATCTGGCCACAAATACTGCCATATTTCCCACCAAATTTGGATGTACCCATAAAATACTAGATTTTTTTCAACATCATGTTGAGAAAAAACAGTAAGCAAATGTCAACATACTGCCCCAAATACATCCAAATACTGTCTCTAGACGAGACACTCATACTGTCGGAACCAGTCCGACAAATCCAAGATTTCAGGAATACTATTGACCTGTAAGTAGAGGGTTTGCAGCCGGACATGGCCGTATTTGGAAAAAATCCGTAACGGACAAAAAACATGTCCAAACCCGTACGGACAGAAAATTTTGTCTTTATGGTTTTCCAGGTATATATATATTCTATAGATATAAAATAAGGTGTATATACTGTGTATGTATATGAATGTATATTATATACAATCATGTAACACTGTGCAGTGCCGTTTTTCCTCAGTTGGATGAACATCATCCTCGCATGCCGCATGGGAAGTAACATAGCCTGACAAAACCAAACAAAACAAAGGTTCATAGTTCTGTGGTCGATGGTCACACATGTTCAGTTTCAACGGAATGATTTTGGCAAGCCTCGGGCAACTCCCCCGATGCTGCATCTTGCGGTGGAGCATTCAGCATGGTTCATAGTGGTCCCAAAAGCCGGGTGCTTGCAAATGCACCAATTCATAGTCTTACTATACTAATACAAACAGTTGTCTTTATGGGGAAACCACTGGGTTTGAAAGTAACTTTTATGCTTACGTAAAATCATTACAATGACCTTTTTTGCTTGCAACTTGCAACCATCTTGATTTTTGACATCCGCACATGAGGAGTGTCCAAAACATATTGATACGTAGTGACCATGTCTGGTCCTGGTTTCGTGGCATTGTGTGGCGATACATCCGACCAAATGGATTCAACATGATTCAACTGCTAGAAACTCTGATCATATTGACGCATCATTGAGCAAATAGTTAAGGTTATCCTAGGACCTACAATTACTGTACTGGAGCATCTGGAGCAGAAGTGGGTGAGATTCCCATCCAAGATATCCAAGGAACCGCCAATCCTTCATAGAAATGGCCATAAGCCCATCAATCCCAAGGTCTACCCGTCTACCCAATTTACTCAATAAATATAGCTTCAATGAATCTAAACAACCAGGCCAATGATGATTCTATTCCTACAAGGATTCTAACATTTCCAGTCATGACAATTGCAAATCATTCCCCAAGAATCCCGGAAGTTAAAAGAAAACATAAATCATATTTAAAAAAATAAGATGAATATATTCCCGTATGTTCGTTTGAGGTCCCATTCGCAATCCCATCCAACCAGCAGGGTCACAGCTTCGCACCTGCTTGAGGATTGCCTCAAGCTCCTCCAGCCATGGATGGTTTGGGATGTTTTCCGATGGGTTGGATCCAACAACTGGGGAGATAACTGGGAGATAACTGGAATATCACGGGACAATAATGGTTAATTAGGGTTTATAATGGGATATAGTGAGAAATATAAGGGATTAATGGGATTAAGATGGATTAAGTAGGGTTTATAATCGAGTATTTCATGGGAAAAACACCTGTAACTTTGGATATAATGGGGAGATCATGGGGATACTTTACTACCAAGATAATATACGAATTTCTCTGAACATCGGGTATACCCTAAATAACAACTTCAATGGGGAACATGATGATAAACCATCACGTGTTGGGGCACCCAATGTTCGAACGAAGCCATCCGGGAACTTCAGCCAATCCAAGTGGATTCCTGCAAGTTGGAATGGAAGGTATAACTTTCACGCCTACTACAGTAAGAGGTTCATAGATTTCACAGGTGGAAATTGCGACCGCTATCACTAGTACATGGTAGTACATGTCTGTGTGCCATTCGTTGCAGCCTAAGACCTTGCATGGGCCATCACAGAAGGTTTCAAGGGGTCCCAGAAAGCCTTTGAAGGGGCGGGCTATGGCGGGCTGGAGGGATTGGAAATAAATACAGCATGCAAAGCTGCCAGGTGAGATTCTTCCCAGAAATTTCCACTTGATTATACAATATAGAGTTGATTTCGGGGAGCCTGGACCTTAAAGATCGCAACGGTTGGGCTATGCCAACCCTCTCCCCGCGAAATTTGGCTCCAAGTCTGTCAAAAGGAATCATGTTGTTTGTTTGTTTTCAAAGCTGGCTTGACCTTGGGAATATATCCATAATTACACCTCATTTAAAAGCAAAGATACAAAATGATACAAACAGATCTTCGCTAACATCTTCGCACCTCAAACCAACTCAACTCAACCCACCAGTCATCATTCGGGTGTCTCCGAAAATCGGGGCATGCCTCGAAATGACCATTCAGGGATAATGATGATTGCGGAGGATGGAATGGAGTACCCCATTTTCAGACAGACCCATCCATTTTTCAAGAAACCACCATTCCATTTTTACAAGGATAGACTATGATCACATCCATTTTTCATGCATTTTTCTTGTTTCCTCAAGTCAGATAGGCTACATTCCTCAAGGAACCACCTCCCATCGGTCGCCCCCCGGTGACTGCTTCCTTCTTGCGCTGCTCTGCCGCCTGCTTCACCGCCTGCACTTCGTCCTGACGTTGGCCTCGGAAGAAAGCGCTGCAAAGAAGGGCTGCAACCGACATAGCGTTAATGGATGTTAGGATTATAATGAATTATTGTGTTGAATTATGATAACTATGATAATTATTATGGGATTATCATTACGGTATTCTTCATCAATTAAGGAATTATCGTGAAGGTGTAATGAATTGTCGTATATTATCATGAATTATCGCGAATTGCTTTGAATTATCGTGAATGATCATGAATTATTCTGAGTTATCAGACTCTATTACGGGAATATATGAATATATATGAATATATATGAATATATATGGGGATTACCGCAATCTTTTTCTGGAAATCCTCATTGATCCACAGTTTCTTGGGATTTTCAAGTAACAAACTAACATCTACAGCATGGCCTATGATTTTCAATTGATTGTATGAATATAGATGACTCATGTTATATTCCCTCAGCTATCATACATCGCAACATATCCTTACCAAAAAATGGGGATTATCATCATCTACCGTATTGCGGGAATCACCATTGACCAATTGACCAGCTAATTTTTTGAGGAATTCTCAATTCTCCAATCGGTTTTGACACTGCTCAACTACCGTAGAGCCTGAACACGGCCTGAACTCCCAACCCATGGCAGGCTACATGGTGATGGGAGAGAGGGTGTCTGGATTATACAGCATCATATCCTCCAAAGTGTCATCAAATGGGAATGATAATAATAATGGCTACGATATGCAAACGAGATCAAGTAAGTATGGCTAGGATGGCTATGGGTATAGCATGGTATAGCCACTATAGCTGGTGCGCTTTGTGCCAGCAAAAAAGATCCTAGACGCATTGACCTGTGAGATGTACGTATTATATGTAACATTATGTAACTATATATATATACGGTAACTACATTTAAATCTACGGATTTTTAAACATACGAACTGGTATTTCATACTACCTCCGGGGCCTGGCGGTCTGGCCCGCCCTCCACATATTTAAATGTCGTTACCGTATATAAATATATTATGGAGGTGTTTCCAGCATGGTGAATATCAGTGCATTTGGTGTATACTAGTGTATATCTCTTGTTCGGACAAACACACATAGATGATTTGTAACTTATCTATATAACGCACCTATTTAGCATCTACAAAGCTTGGTGGATATGAGATGATATAAATGACTTCAACAAGAAGTTGAATCATAGCTCCCGATAGTTCAAACATCATTGATGGCATCAAGCACACTTACCCCAATCAAATCCCTGCGGTTGGCAACCTTGAGAGCTGAATCATGATTCCCGATGGCTGGGATCAAACTTCCACATTTGGAGTGCGAGAAATCAGTTTCACAAACGTGAAAGCAAACATCTACCATCCAGTAAACTAACATAAACTAACATATCTATGGAAATCCATGGGTTTCCCACCGAAATGATCTACGTTCATGGTGGATTTTCCATAGCTATCCATAGCTATATATCTTAGTTTACTGGAGGGTATCTCCTTTTGGGTGTTTGCAAAAAATTGCAAGACATCCAACATTCAGCATTTCATGCTCTGTAGCAATCTGGGAAATCCCAGTCATCCCCCGAACTCGTTTGAGGCAGTATTTTGTCAAACCCGACAAGAAACTTGGGATGGCAGTAAAATCACCAACTTTATTTTCCATGGTCAATCTTTGGTACTCCACAAAAATAGGATTTCCTTGCTGGTTATGGTCGTTTTCCATGTATAGCAAAAAGGATTCAACTACCGTTCCAAGGTTAGGGATGTTTCCCATAATTTCATGTCAAACCCAAAGAACATTTACAGGCTTGCTCCCAGCTCGACAGATAAATTACGGGGGTAAATTGGGTGAATACAAAGGACACCTTCACAACATGTCCCCCTTGTGGCCATAGATTACCTACAATGGCTTACAGCAACCCAGATTCAACATTTGGGGCTTTCCTAGGTCATGGGGATCCCCAAAAAAACATGGTTGTTTCAATATGTTTCAATATATTTCAATGCTAAGTCATAGTCATCCATGACGACTTGATTTGGGGGTACCATGGATGGAAAGCTCCATGACTAGGTCCCCAAGCGTGAGACCTCTCGCTTGAGCTTGAAGACGGTTCTGATCCCCTCGGCTCGCCGAGGGGAGCTTGCCGCAATGGGCATTAGGCCATTTTGTCGCCCTGCCTCATTTCCGGGAAAAAACATGAAGGAACATAACAATTATTGATAGACAATCAGACAATGACATCTGTATAATATAGTAATTATATATGTATATATATATATACATACGTGTATATATATATATGAGCTCCCGTCAAAATCCTTTACATCTCAGTAGTTGTTATTATCGGTTATCGCTTTTTGGAGGGGGGCATATCGCTTTTCAGTGTTTTGTGTCATTATCGCTGTCCGGAGGCCATATCGCTTTACTACAGTGTTTCGTGCACATCTATGACAAAAAACTGCAATACTAAAGTGGTCTTCAACCATTTTGACCGTGACTCATCTTATTGCATATTCTATCATGAAATACCACGACATATCATACATATCCCCCTAAAGTATGTCGGTCATTACTTGCTCTTTTTAAATCTTTTTTTGCACATTCTTTCGCATCAAAAGTCACGACCCGCTGATCAGCTCTGAAAAGTGCCTTGGGGCTTTGAGCAGAAGACTTCCCAGAGGACTTGCCACCTGGCAGGATGCCAGGTGGATCCATCGCAGATACGATTCAACAATAATGCTATCCTGATATTCCAATATGTCGCAAAGAAAATAGTATCAAACCATATTAAACTATTAAACATTTTTAAAAAGTACCTTTCCAAAGTTTAATGAGGTTTAGTAAGATTTAGCCAGTAGAAGTTAGTCGCCAAGAGGCCCTTCGAAGGAGGCTGAGCTGGAACGTCTGTATAACCAGACCTCTAAAAACTCTGTTGACTTTGTCTTGGCTAACCAGATTCGCAGCTCTGCACAGAAACTCATCCGCTCCTCTTGGGATGCTGACTGTGCTGGCCACCAGGGCCAAAGGGTTTCTTATGACCTTTGAAATCCACCAGGTGTTGGTCCAGTCATTCCCTCCGTGCTGGAATGTTGGGGCTGGATTGGTCACATTTCAGAAGCACCCAATCAGGGTGTCTCAAAACCACCTGTTGAAGGCATACCAACACTGACAGGTTTCAAAGCGAAACCTGAAGACCAACCCACATGGGGGTTTCCTAAAATAGTGGATCCCAAGCTGTCATTTAAATTTGGAAACCAACGGTTTTCAATGGATGAAACCATGAACATTTCCCCTGATGTACCCCATTCCAAGCCCCCACATGGCCGCCATGGCCCCATTTCGCCACCTTGTGCCGGACGCGGCAGTGTCAAGCTGGTGGGACTCCTTTCCTGGGATGGAAAATCGATGTGACTCCCGGAACTTTGCATTGGAAAATCCCCGAACTAAATGGAGGTTTCAATGCGCTAATCATGTACATTTTGAGGATTTTCAATTGCCATCTTTGATTCCCGGAGGGTAAAATGATGTAAAATGAATGGCAGGAGCAACTAAACCCTGGCTTGTTGAATTGGGCTCCGCACCATTTGAAGAGCGAATTCTTGGGAAGGGGTGAGTGTATTAATGGGTCGGGAGCACCCAACTTTCACCCGGTGGCAACTCAGTGCCAGCACCCGAAATTTTGATGGTGTCTCATCAATTTCCCTATTAACACGGCCATAAGTTAAGGGGTACATCGGTAAATCCAACATGTCAACATGTTCAGGCAGAGCCATATATCATACTGGTGAAATATCTCCTGGCAAATATATTCATATTATATCATCATTTGATAGATGAGCTTGTCATAAAGTATCCCATTATAAACATGTATAAACCCTAATTAACCCAACTCATCCCCACTAATCCCCGTTCGAAAACACGTCCCACCCGGCTTGCGCCTTCAGCACAGGCTCAAGGCCTTCAGCCTCTAATCCGACTCTGAAAAAGCAGAGTTTCTAATAGTGAGAAATTCTGATGATCATGCCAATTTTAGAACAATGTTAGAACAATGTCAGAATAATGTTAGAATCATGTTAGAATAATGTTCAAAGTTAGAAGGATAATACCATCAGGACAAATGGTCAGGATAATTATAGTTAGATTAGATGGTAAGTAGGAGAAATATCATCAGTATAGTAATGTTAGACAACTATTATATAGTATATACTTATATCACAATAGTTGGGGGTAATTATGGGGCAATGATTTGAGTATATAATCTTAGGTATAAATTGTTTCTAATTTCAGAGAATGTTGAGTATAGTTTATAATATTCGGTACTTTTACAATCATACCCAACATTATTATGTGAAATGATCATATTAGAATAGTTTCTAATCTTGTAATGGGTAATGACCCTGGTAGCAATGGAACCTTTGTGGTGATCAATGGCATAGTGGTATAGATCATGGTAATAGTTATGGTTCATAGGGACCAGACCAACAGTTTTAGTATTGTTATCATGATGATGAATAAAAGTATTTATATAACTGTTTATAATGAATCATAACTATGATAGTAAAATGATGATAACATCGAAATACTGTCATGAGTCACAATAATAACAACATATCAATCATTCCAACCCCCAGTCAGTTTGAATATTTACATCCTTAAATGCCCCCCCCCAAGTGAATACGGTAGATCCCATATGAAACCAGGGTTTTTAAGCGGGTGCTTAAATTTTCGGGGAGGAAATAATAACAAACATGATGGTAAACTGATGATATCTATACCAGGACCAGAACATATTGTTTAAATAATAACAAACGATAACAAACGCATGATAATAGTCAATGATTATTCATGATGAGTATATAATATGGTGAATTGCAAGATCCCTAGTTATGAAGGACGTATTATTCAGCACCGCTGGAAAAATTCTGGTCCGAATCCTCGGAGCTGAAGCATCAGATAGGCCTCTCCCCAAATGCCATTGGATTGTTGACATTCCCACCACAATTGCTGGTTATATCCAGCTGTATCATTTTCGCTGTGGGTCATATGCACACCTTTGCTGCTTTTTTCATGCAGATGTTCACCAGCAAACTTCCAGTGTTCTTAGTGAAATATATCCAGATCTGACAGGCGACATGAACGGATTCCATGGCACCGGCCTTTGCTTTGGCTTCTTGGAAGCGACGCTTGCGCTGGGCTTCCTCCAGCAATTTACGCGCCGAGACCTGGCAAAAAACCCTAGACTAAAAATGGGAGTTCGGAGGTGGGGGGGCTATCATTCATCATGCACATATATATATATATACAATATATATATATATAATATCCATATTGTGTACATCTATCTCCGTATCTACAGATACATATATACTTACACCCTATGCAATATACACAGTTTATGGAATACATGCCTGAAACTCAACATGAACCCAAACATGGAAACACCTAACAAATAATAGGAAAAAATAGGAAAAGTATGACTATATCATACTACATCAATCGATATATCTATGATTCTCTATGGCTGGGTCCCAACCTCGATGATCCCTGAACTGTTCTTAAAAAGGAGCATCCCGTTTCTGTTGCGTGCAGCAAGGGCCTTGCGCTCTTCTTGCTCTCTCACCTGAAGCAAGATTCCTTGAGCCCAAAAGTGGGCATTCTAAGTCGGATTGGTCATTAAACTTGGGTACCACAAAGCTGGTTTCATAAACCGTAGACCATAAAATATGTTGGAGATGTTTGGAGTAAACAAATGAATGAACCACGTCCAAATGGTTCAGCTTGTATTTGTGACCAAGCAAGGGCGGTCACCTGGGTCTGAAATTTGGCCCCATAACCCGTAGCCATAAACAGAGTGAACAGTCAATTCCTTCCAAGAAGATCAGTTTGATTATCCCCATAAATTGATTTTCACCAAAGACACCCATCTAGCACTCTATGAAACCTCCAAAAAGTGCTTTTGGATGCTTTCGGGAGATCCCTTCCTGGAAATTGCCATCGTTGTGTTCGATCCAAAATTTCAGGCTTACATCCCACTTCTTCGAGATCTCGCCAATGAAAATGCCACTCATATCTCGTTGGATATACACAATCAGATCACATATCTAGCATATACATTTCGGGATATCTATAATATATGTCACATATATATATATATATATATATGTGACATATATATATATATGTGACATATATATATATATATGTGAAATATATATTTATATGTGACATATATATATATATATATTTATATATTATATACCCATTAATATCCCATATCTCTGGGTTTCCAATTGTACCCACCAAATCATCGTCGTCTTCGCCTCTTTGGCCATCTTCTCTTCAGCCGTCTTCGCACGCCCGATGGCCTTTGGAGCTCCCGCCAGGGATCAACGTCCCAGGTTTCATGGTGAATGGCGATCGCATGGAAAAAACATGGCAATATAATGGAAATCATGGGGACTAATGGTGATTTCATGGTGATAATGACATGGTGACAATGATAATGTAAATTCATGGCAATATAATGGGAAATTGCACGAAATTAATGGGGATACAATATGATATATATAATGGAAATTAGGACTAATGGGTATAGCCAAAAAAAGAGACCGTTTTCAAAGCTGGGAAATATGTGGAAACACATCACGGTTCTATCCTTTTGGGGGTTACGTGACTGGCTGGGAAACCCCCAACCTAATATTTAGAGGTTTACAGCTGGCAAAATCATCGAACTAAATGTGTGTGTTCTCCCCAGCAAACCATGTTTGATTACCAGAGGGTAATCCATTTAGAACAAATTGCAATTCACCATTAGATAAATGTTCATTAATCATCATGTATCAACATGTAGTTCTATTGCTGCTCTACTGATCTATTCCCCCCAAAAAGTAGAAAAATCATTTCACTACTATTTTAGTGGCAGATGAAATCATGCAAATATGTTGCTTAGTGATCTTACATTCATTCGCATCTATAGGAGTCTAGGAGCCCTGAAATGACCTGATCGAATCCCTTCCACATTGTGTGAAGACCATGTCTTGGAGAGAAAACTGATGTTGGTCATGTTGGTCTATCATTTCTCACCATGAAATATCAGGCTACTTAAGTTGCCCACTTTTATTCGCTGCTGGTAACCACCTTCCAGGGGATCCCCGGGCCGCTTGGCTGCTTCGGTAGTTCCAACCCTACTCTCCGGCAATCAAATGTGGCAATGGGAAATTGAAATCGCCCCTTAAAATGAAGGTTTCGATGCGAACATCATCGAACTAAATGAATTCGAATTGCCACGAATTGAGTATCATCAGGGTATAGTAATATATATATACATAATATATAATATATTTGGAGATCATCATCCCTTTCCGAGGGACATTTTTGGCACCAACGTCTTACCATCATCCAGCCGCGCTCCTCGACCGCGGCTTCTTGAGCCTGACTCAACTGTCGCTTCACCTGGAGCTGAACCCTGGCTTTCCGGTCGATCAAGCTTTAACGAAGTCAAATTGACTTACCCGGGAATCAGAGGAAACAATAGGAAATCATGGGAAATCCCCGAAATAAAGATGTTAATGGGAAAATCATCTAGAAATCGATCATGTTCCATCGCGGGATGGTATTTGTTTGTTTTTGCAAAGATACAAATCCACTGGTGAGAACTGCGTTTGCCCGATAAAGAAACAGATAAAGAAACATGCTGTGTTTGAGTTTGGATCCATTTGGATCCCCTATTTTGAGACACGACCTTTTGATCCCCTTGCTTGAGGTCACCAGAATTCTGGGGCAGCCTTCGGAGAAACACACGGATATAAAATGATAACTAGCAACTGTTCTGTGTTTCATTGAGCTAAGGAAGATGTGAAATCTGACCAGTAAAGATGATAAAAAATGATAAAGATGGTGGTGTAATACACGAAAAACAGAGATTGAACCAGCAAATACCAGCAATACATATCATACCCTCTGGTAATTTAACATAGCTATTGAAAATAGCCATTTATAGTGGATTTTCCCATTGAAAATGGTGATTTTCCATAGTTATGTTAGTTTACCAGATGGTATATTTTGGCATTGAACCGGCATGACTAGCAGATCCGCCTCGTCCAACTCCACCTGCAAGTCCTGGCGCTCTTCACTACCCATGGAAAATCCGCATAGAAATGGATCGAAATGGAAGTTTATAGCTGGGAAATGCTGGGAACATCATCTAACTCAATGGGGTATTTTGCCATGATTACCCGTGGGTAGATCATTTATGATAATTTTTCGCTATGCTTTGAGGGTTTTAGTTTCTGGACTCCCCACAAAATGGTGATTTTGGCTCATCCGTATGTCTACTTTTTTCGAAGCCAACTGCCCGGTGTTGGCTGGTTTGGATCCCATCGACATGCTGAAATCCCCTTGCTGTTTATATCACCGATTTGGTTGCTGGAAAGAGCCCAAAAAAACATCTTCAATCGCCATTATTTATAGGGGATCCAAAAAAATGTGCCCAAAAGTGCTTCCAAAATGGTACTGTAGTTAGGTGATGTGTTCCCCATGATTCCAGGTTTCCAATGATTGGCTTTTTTTTGGTCGCTATGCCCATTATCCCAATTAATTCTCATTATATCCCTATTAATCTCTTTTAATCCCTATTAATTCGCATAAATCTCCATTATATCCCCATTCATCACCGTTATATCCCTATCAATTTCCACGATATCCCCATGAATTTCCATCATATCCTCATCGATCACCATTCTATCTCCATTAATCATCATTTACACACCATGTTTTCTACCATTCTATCTCCATTAATCATCATTTACACACCATGTTTTCTACCATTCTATCTCCGTTAATCATCATTTACACACCATGTTTTCTACCATTCTATCTCCATTAATCATCATTTACACACCATGTTTTCTACCATTCTATCTCCGTTAATCATCATTTACACACCATGTTTTCTACCATTCTATCTCCGTGAATCATCATTTACACACCATGTTTTCTACCATTCTATCTCCCTTAATCATCATTTACACACCATGTTTTCTACCATTCTATCTCCATTAATCATCATTTACACACCATGTTTTCTACCATTCTATCTCCATTAATCATCATTTACACACCATGTTTTCTACCATTCTATCTCCATTAATCATCATTTAACACACCATGTTTTCTACCATTCTATCTCCGTTAATCATCATTTACACACCATGTTTTCTACCATTCTATCTCCATTAATCATCATTTACACACCATGTTTTCTACCATTCTATCTCCGTTAATCATCATTTACACACCATGTTTTCTACCATTCTATCTCCGTTAATCATCATTTACACACCATGTTTTCTACCATTCTATCTCCATTAATCATCATTTACACACCATGTTTTCTACCATTCTATCTCCATTAATCATCATTTACACACCATGTTTTCTACCATTCTATCTCCATTAATCATCATTAAACACACCATGTTTTCTACCATTCTATCTCCATTAATCATCATTTACACACCATGTTTTCTACCATTCTATCTCCATTAATCATCATTTACACACCATGTTTTCTACCATTCTATCTCCGTTAATCATCATTAAACACATGGTTTTTCTATAGTTTTCTCCATCTGAGACGTTGATCCCCCTGTGGCTTGCCTCAGACAGTGTGGAGTGTGTAGACTGCTGTCGGCTTGGCTCAGCGTCGGGTTCCTGCAGCTCGTCCTGGCGATCTGTGGGCGATCTATCATCCAAACAGTGGAAACTATGGGGAACATCTTGGGAAAATACTGGGAGAAAAGGACACATATTATCACATATTATCATATTAGAAAAATATTGGCAACGTATTGCAATAAATTGGGAACATATTGGACACACATATGAGACACAATGTTTTTTTGGGGGAACATATAGGCCATATATGGGAACACTACGGGAAACATCTTGTAAATAATGGGAATGTGACACATGAGGGAACATGATGAGGTTCACCAAGGATGACTTCATGCACCAGCTCCATCCAGAGGGTGGGCCCAGTCCTTGTGCTCCAACAGACCTGGAAAAACGAGTTGAAGCCAATGAATGGATTGGCTATATGTTTTTTGACAAGAAAAATACACTAAAACTCATGGAAAACCCATGGGCTTTACATGTTTTTACCCCAAAAAAAAAGGGGTTCACTATCAGAATTTCCATTCAACCAATGCTCGGACCCCGACGGTCATAACAATAAAATGAATAGGACGTGGGTCGGCTACGTCATGAAAGCCCAAATCTCCATGCATAACATGGCCGATCTTAGATACCTTGCATTCTGATTAGTATAGAATATATTACAACATACATCCCCGTGTATCGCAAACGACTAAAGTACCAAACTATCCATCCAAGGTTTACCCAGATCAGGCTTTCATAGCAGCATACGTAGGCTCCAGAAACTGAGGACCCAAACATTTCTTTGGGTCCGACCAACCGACTGCCTGGCTCTCAGCAGGAACATGGGAGTGGGAAAACGCTTGCGTGTATTCAACAAATGTGGATATGAACCAAAATAGAGGAAACACACAAAAATTGGAACATCCATCAAATATGTGAATGGTCACCTTGGATTGGAGTCTTAAAACACATATATATATATTATATATATATATATACACATATACTATACTGTCACCTCAATGTATACATATCAGCTTGAAGCTCAGTGGGAAAATCATCCGAAGACGTTGAACTCAGATGAAAATGGAATAGTCCATCTTCCTCCCATGTGACCATAGTGCCTTTCTTGACCATGTCAAAAGGTTGCTTCACTGGTTGAAATGTTCAACTGTTAGGTGGTAATAACTACCTAATCTTCTCTTCGAACACCTCTTCCCAAGTCGCTCGCCGACCTAATCTTTTTTCGGGGACTGGGTGGAAACTTGCAGTTCTAGAAAAAAGTTTGACTATGATTTGGGTTTCTCTGAAACTTGTGGGAAAACCTCCCAAACTTAACAGTTGGCCAGCATTCTTCCATTGAAATGGCAATTTTGGGCTATAATTGATGTTCAATCAAACTGATTTTGGGGTGCCGCTCCAGCAAAAGAACCATTGGCAGTAGGCTAATCCCTCTCTGAGCTGAGACACCATGGGGCCCTCCACCTTGGCTGTCCTTGGCGTTCGTGAGTAAACCAGTTGGTGCCCATGAATTCGCTCAGGTTTCAATTTCAGAAGCACCCAACCATCAAATTAAAATTTGAGCTTCTGTTTTAATATGTATTTTAGGGATTTTTAGGGGTCAATACACTAATTCTGAGCCATAGCCAAACGCCAATTCCAAAATTCCCCCTGGGGCACAGACACCTGTGCCATTGAACACCTTGCACCTCGCAACCCCAACAAAGGTCGGTGTCGTTTGTTTCTTTAGGCCATGTTTATCATTGTTTATCCATGTTTCCAGGAGACCTGCGTTGGGTCTTTCATGATCTTGCGTTGACAACCTGTCTCAACAAGAACAACTAGAAAGAATCCTCGGCACCTATCACCACTTCCTAGAGATAAAACATACAGCAAACATGTTGATTTCGGATTCAAGTTCCAGCAGCACAAGACCATCGATATCAAGAGCAAGTCCACCCTGAAATGGGAGTCTCAAATCTGACATGCGAAAAAACAAAAACATGGTTCATCATATTTTCATCATATTTTCCGGATGAAAACGGCTAGAATGATTGGCTTCTACATGCTTCGACCACCTTTCTGGACAACTGTAATTCTAGATCCCCATAAATCTCACACCTGGAATTTGGGGTACCTCCCAACTAGAGACCATGAGCTAAGTCAGCTAAGTGGCGCGCTCTGGAAAAAGCACTGCTGCGGGTCGCTGCCACACAAGCGAAGCCCAGAAGCTCGAGCAACAGGAGGTTTATGTCTTTTTTGTCATCCCGGTCATCCCAAATGGGAATGATTTGGAACCATACCCCTGCTGTCTGTGGCTCTTTTTCGGGGAAACACCTTGACCAAAAACTTTTTGTGCTCTGGAAGATTAGCCAGAAACATGTGGCATCATATGGTAAACCCAATACTAAAATTTACGAGTGCTACCTCCAGTCTCCACCAAGTGCTGATGGTTTACAACTGGGCTTCTACGCTGCTACCTCCAATCTCCAATCCCGACACAAACCATGCGCACGAACACACCACACTCATGTGCAGCATCTTTTCTGCAAAAAGCTTCTCTGCAAAAAGCTTCTCTGCAAAAAGCTTCTCTGCAAAAAGCTTCTCTGCAAAAAGACAGGATTCATATTTATTTGTTTGTTTGTCAAACACAGCAATGCCTTGCATTCAGTACAAATAATATAAATACATCATAATAGATCTATGCGTGGACTGATACTGCTGTTCTGTTCATCTGTAATTAAATAATATTATATATATAATATATATAATCATATATATAATTATATATATATAACTATATATAATTATATACATATATCATTATTCTTATTATTACTACTATATTATTATTATTGTTATTATTATATACTATATGTATGAATGTATGAATGCATGTGAGCCATCATAAAATATGAACATGTACAATTTTTGGTAACTTTTAACTAACGGCTAATGAATCCTGCCCACGCTTTGCCTTTTGCAAAGCTCTCGCAGTTTCCATCTTGGAGACTGCCGCCAGCGAGCCCTATGGCAAGCTGGTCGCTGCCTATTGAAGGTGGCTGTGTTCAGAAAGATACTCTGCAATGATGGTCAATCTATATGGGTGTTCGCTTGAGAACAGCACTCCCCAAAATCCAGTGCTTTATCATAACTTTTCCAATTAGAATTGCCATGTCTTATGGGTAAATCGCCATTTTCAGACAGATCCATGGTGGTTACCCAACGACTCTGAGCTGATGGGTAGCCCCTGGGACGGGATGATTCTACTCCACACTAAGTCCATCAAATAGGAGATGTGAGTGGATTTAAACGATTTAAGGGATTGCCAAAGTTTCGGAAACCCTCACGTACCTTCATGTTCTTCTGTCAGTGTTTCATCATCAGCGCAGTCCTTTACATGCTAGTTTCTTAATTTTTGGATATTATATTGTCATCTATTGTCTTTAGACTGACACCATCTTATAAATTATTATACTTAGAGCTTTTCCCTGCTTCTGAACACATCACCAATTAAACCATACTCGTTGAACGCATTTGTTCTCACACCGTCGTACCATGTCGTCCTGAAGAAGGCCAAACTACCACTCCAGTTGGTGGCGACCAACCTGTGAGGAACTTTGCGAGTAAAATTGGCCGTACCTCACCGGTCGGTGGCGCAAGGGATCAAGGGGATCAAGGGGATGGGGGAACATCTCCAGAAATGAAGGTTGGAATAATGTTGTGATATTTGACCCAAGGAAACTTGAAGACCAAGCATTTTTACTTCAACGCCCGTCGCTGAAAGAGGATGAAACAGAGGCCGTTAAGATCCTCGGACGGGGACATGACACATGTTTGATCACCGTGCGAGATGAGCCATCAGCGGACCCCGGAATACAACCGTGGGAAGATTCTTCAGCTACAGTATCATCCCATGTTCAATATATTTGCAGGGTTTTAAAAACGTGTGGAAAACCACCCGAACTTCTGCGCTGATCTGCCATGCCCAAGGTGCCAATCAAAAAACTCTTGGAACGGGCCATCGCCTGCAAACATCTGCAAACATTCGAACTCTTTGGAATGGTTCTGCCATGGAGAGGACTGGGAGACTTGGAAATAGCTTATGAATGCTTATGATAGCTTATGTATTCCAGGGCACCTGGTAAGGATATGTAAGGATGCTACATTATGATACTAAAATATACTAAGGATGTTGCGAGTTTCCTGCGTTCCGAAGAGATCGGTCACTGGACCTGGATCCCAGTGCCTGATTCCCACCGTCAGCGGACCGTCAGCGTCTGAGTGGCGGACCCTCCACCAGTACGGGCTCTTTCCAGTAGAGTTTGTTCTCCCAAACCTGGACCCCACACAGGGAGAGTGTCTGGCTGCAAATCTCTTCCAAAAAGTCGACCAAAAACCTACAGAATTCGCCAGAAACATGTCAAGTTCAATGGAAAAATACATCTTTTACATATCTGCGGAATTCTGCGGATGCGATCCACTGCCCCAAGTATAGTGGGGTTACATGGGGTTACACTTTGCTTTGGGCAAACCATTAGAACACTGCTTGGAGCATCAAAACAACCACGACTTCACCACACATAGTACTCAGAGATACTAGTACCTCCCAAAAGGCTTCTACAGCGACCCATGACGCGGTTTGCGGTTCTACGCCGCCTGAGAAACCAACATGGAACTCTCATGTTGCTTGTGCCCACAAGATGACTTTACTTTCATTGGAGAAGATTACCATTTTATCACATTTTACACGCGTGACGTTTCAAGGTGTATACTCCTCCAGCCAACAAACTTGGCAATATAAATCACGAACAATCAACAGGTAGATCATCTAGAAGTATCATAAAAATGAATTGAACATGATTGACATTGAAATATTTTTCATTGCCAGATTCTATGAATTTCCAGGAAGTACAAGACTTGCCCAGATCCCTTCAGCACCTCCAAGTCCTGTTCCAGGGCCACTTTTCCTGTCACCAATGGAATCCCCTTGAGAACTCACGCACACATTTACTGTAGCTGAGCTGGAACTTATGGATCTTGATCCAGTTCATCCCCCAAAAAACATGGAAACCCCATAGGTCTTGATCCATCCCCATCTCTAGACCCTTCGGAAAAGTCGAACCCAACAGAAACCACTGGATGCTGCAGAATTCCTTTCCACCATCCCTGCGCCAATCACATCTGCAAATTGGTTCATCTGTGATTTGTCAATGGGAGGATATGGAAGTGCAATACTGTACCACAGATTGTCTTGCTTTCACTGCTCACAACTAGTTTCTTTTGGGAAATTCAGCCCACCAAAGCATCAGCACATCTGGGAACGGGTCAAACTCTAGTTCACGTCCCAAAAGTCAAGAGAATGGTTTACATGGGGACGTTCGTGAAGCCGGTTGAGGGCAGCTGGGTAAAGGCCCTCATCTTCACACTATCAGCAGGTCGCCTATCAGGCTGAGCAAGTAGGCGATAATCCGAGGAACGCTCTTCTCAGCATACCTCGCCACTTCCGGAGCGGGAAAGCCGTCAGGATTGAGGTCACAACCCTGGTAACCTCTATTGGGGCGGGATGTGCATGGCACCCACATGGTTGGGTCACATTGTCACATCATTCACCATTCATCATTCATGATGAGAATTAGGATCATGATCAGGATCATGATCAGGATCACCAGGATCACCAGGATCACCAGGATCACCAGGATCACCAGGATCACCAGGATCACCAGGATCACCAGGATCACCAGGATCACCAGGATCACCAGGATCACCAGGATCACCAGGATCACCAGGATCACCAGGGTCACCAGGGTCATCAGGGTCATCAGGGTCATCAGGGTCATCAGGGTCGTCAGGGTCGTCAGGGTCGTCAGGGTCGTCAGGGTCGTCAGGGTCATCAGGGTCATCAGGGTCATCAGGGTCGTCAGGGTCATCAGGGTCATCAGGGTCATCAGGGTCATCAGGGTCATCAGGGTCATCAGGGTCATCAGGATCATCAGGATCATCAGGATCATTGTGGCGCCGTCCAGCCGCTCTCCCGGGCACCAATACATCTCCACTTGTTGTTTGAAGGGTTCAATGGGCAGAATGGTCCTGGGCGCCACTGGGCATAGGACGATCAGGATCAGGTGGAGGAATCGGATGGACTCATTGCTTCCGCAAGCACCAAAAAAGACTCACAAGTCTTTTTCGAGAATGTTGTAGATGATGTTTTCATACGGTTTCCCGTCAAAAAAAGTACTTCAACTTGCCTACCTATTTGGGGGTCGTCTATAATCCATAAATGTCCATCCTCCAAGCAACTGGGAGTTTGTATCAAAGGTTTTTGAAGCTGGGGGGGGGCCTTCAGGGCCTGCACACCTGTGCAGTTGATATATGTTGATATCCCATCATCTCTCATTAGTTCTTTCCTCATATCCCATCATATCCTCAGTTTGGGGGTGAAATCAAAGTTAGTGGCTGGGTGTCTCATCTGCCATGTGCCAGGGCCATTAAAATCATTAAGTAAATACCCCCTGCTTCATCAGCTGGTCAACAGCAGCCCTGGGTCTTCCAACTTGATTTGTCGGATGGTCCCCAAGGGGGTGATCAACTTGAAGTGCATCCTGTCAGGGTGACTGGCGTCAGGGGGATGATCTGGAAGAAATTCCAGAGAAGACAAAGGTCTAAGAAACATGCCAGGAAGATGTTTGGTGCCTTAAATAGGGCCAGAGTGAGGCTTAAAATGACATTATGTTCAGAGTAATGCTGAAATTCATGGTCTTCACCGGAAATGTAGGGACAACTGAAACATTTCCATGACCCGTGAATGGCAAATACCTCAAATAACTCAGCAAAATGACACCATGAGCCAAATTTGCATGTCTCACTTCTCCAAGTGCAATAGAAAATAACCTAGGACCCCAAACTAGGTGGGACAGCAACTGTTCCTTGGAATTCATCAATTTTCCACATTGTACATCCAGAATCAATACGCACCAAATGCATCCACGCTACATATTGGGACCCTCGAAGGTGACTACGGTGTCAATGAGTTGTGCCACAGTGGCGGAGAAAGGCACCGGCCATCGCTTCTTGCCTCAGGTCTGACCGATGCCATGTTAGATATTCATGATATATTCTATGGATAATATATGGATGATATATGGATGATATATGGATAATCCAAGAATATTATTCTATGGATATTCTATGGATATTCTATGGATAATCGATGATAGTACTATATACGAATGATAATGGTGAATATTCTTGGATTTTTAGGATAATGTGTGAACTAACAATAAGTATTAGGATACTGTTGGATATTCTTGGATACCCGCTTTATCTCAAAAAAATCGTCAATACCCCTGTTGGATATTAATGATGTTGGATGTTTATCTACAGATAATCTAATTATATAGTTGTGGATTATCTATAATGTTTAGTATGTTTGGATTATTACATAGCTGATAATTATTACTATAGATAATCCATGATAGTATTGTAGTAATCCAGTGATATGATAGGGTTGGTGTCGCCTGCAGAAACCCATGACTGGGCTATTATTGATATGGTTCTTAGCCACGGAGAAATGTTGGAATTATGTGGGATGCACAAGTTTGAGGGTGAGAGGGGTTGGGATGATTCGACCCTGTAAAAGTCTTCACGGAACCAGTTTCTGAGTGAAGGATATCAACGAACGCACACCTCGAGCAATCACCTGCCACAACCTTAAGAGACATCAGCGGTTTCCTATCATCACAGAGGAATCAGGACCGTTGGGGAACTTCCTGGCCACGACCCAAGTGGCCAAATAAGTAGAGACCCATCGTCTTCTCTTTAAAAAGCGTCAAATGCTGATGCTTTTCCACCTGCAACGCCCAACGCCAGAAAGGCAAGGGTTGAAACACTGGTATCAAACACCTTGAGATACAATGTGTCCTGCCGTCTTTGCCCAACAATCAATGCAAACATTAAAAACATGGTTTTGTGAACGTGTTTAAAGTTTTCCTATGGAGTGAGGCAAACATCTGCAAATATCATGGGATTTTGATGGATTTTGGGTCTTTCCAACTTCGAGACATACCAATATTGTTTAATTAAAGTTCTTTAGCCCATACATAGCCAAGATCTGCCACGTTTAAGATCCCCATGGCTTTCCAATTATTTCCCAGGTGCATACTTTTTTGGGGTGTATACCCGCCGCTATTTCTACGTGGTACTTTGAAGCCACCGTACTTTATATATATATATACGTATACACATACATATTATAAGATGTATGAGTACGGCAGGCTTTGTGGCTCCGATTCTCCTGCTGCCTATCCCATTCAAAACGACGTCCTGCCTTGCCACGAATCTCCCCTTCGCCGTAGATGGTGCGAATCCTTATTGTGGCTTGTGAAAGTTCATGGGCTGATGAACCAGTGCATATTACTGTAATAATCATTCTTGGAAAAAAAAAGAAAGCCTGGCTGGTGCCATAGGAGCCTGCCAAGTAGGGCTCAAAAAACGCCCAACACAGCCCTTTATGGCTCGTAGGGGCTGGGTTGCGTTAGCAGAAGGTCTGCAATTGTTCATGTATACAACCTAAAGATCAAACAATATCAATGGATATACACATGGAACATATAATAATAATAAATAATAATAATAATAGTAATAATAATAATATGTAAATAATAATAATAATAGTAATAATAATAATATGTAAATAATAATAATAATAGTAATAATAATAATCATAATAATAATAGTAATAATAATAATAATATATATATAATACATAAATAATATATATATGTATATGTACATTATATAAATTCATATACACACGGATGATATACTCCCATATACTTAACATTCCCATCTTTATATAACATAATCACTGTATATATTTAGGAAAATCTTGGGCCTGCAAACATTGGAAATTCCAAAATAATTATTTTGTCATTTTTTTTGCATTTTTGTTGCATTTTTTTTGCATTTGGGTTTGTCATTTTGGATTTGTGTTGTCATTTTTTTGTCATTTCTTTGTCATTTCTGTGTCATTTTTTTGTCATTTGTTTGTCATTTTATTGTCATTTTATTGTCATTTTGGGAACGGGAAAATGGAGAAAAAACATTGTTTAAAAATGACTACCATGACAGACCTTTTGTTATCTCGTGGCAGCACCAAATACAAGGAACAAGTGGAGAAACTCTTGGAAAGCCAGCCGGCGGTGAAGAAGGATAGGGCAGGGGAGCTTGCCCTGGGGAATTCGTTTTTGGGCCTGCCTGGACGAGGAGTTGTCTCCCGGCTCGGGGTGCAGGGCCGGCTCAAAAACCGGGTGGGGGGGCGGGGCCGGGGTGAAATGGCCCGGGGGGGCGGCTCAGGCCCGAGAAGCGGGGCCGACCTGGAAACTCCAAAAACGCAACTTTACCAGCACGCGAGTCATTTTTTTCGCATTTTTTTTGCATTTTTTTTGCATTTTTTTCACATTTTTTTTGCATTTTTTTTGCATTTCCCAGACTAGGAGTCATTTTTTTTGCTTTTTTTTTTTGCATTTCCCAGACTGGGAGTCATTTTTTTGGCATTTTTTTTGCATTTCCCAAACCGGGAGTCATTTTTTGCAATTTTTTGCATTTCCTAGACCGGGTTTGCCACCTTCACCGCTTGCCTGATCCTTATGAGAAAACGACAAGAAAATGAACAATGCTAGAAAGTAGAAAACGACGAGAAAACGACAAAAAAATGACAAGAAAATGACAAAAAATGACTTAACAAATGACAAAAAAATGACTTAACAAATGACAAAAAAATGACAAAAAAATGACACCACAAAACAGGAATGACAAAAAAATGCAAAACCAAATGACAAAAAAATGACAAAAAAATTACAAAAATAAATAACCAACAACCCTCAGAGTTTGCTGGTAAGATTTTCATAAGTATATATTGTAATATAGAGATGAACATCTCCACCTGATCAACTCTGTGAGGTTCCACTTTTTGTTTGGCTTAGAAGCAAACCTGCGCCTTTGTGCACAATACTGGAGATTCCAAATAGATAAAAATCTCACAAAGTGTCTGGCAACCTTTAGAATCTCCATTGAAGCCAAGGCAGAGATGTCTACACTCGAAAATGGAGAGATCTCTGGTGCTGCCACAACCCACAGAAACTTAAAAAGGCATTGAAATCACCTTCTTAGAGTCATGATGAAAACCCCACAAGGTTCTTGCAGATGCTTGGATAAATCTTCTATACAGAACCTCGGGTAATTTTTCACATATCTGTGGAAAACGGCCCAAGTAGCTCGATGATTTACATTGATTTTCCTAGAGTAAATATGGTGGTCTTCCACAGCTAAGTTCGTTTACTGGACGAAAAGTCCATGAAACATCCAGCAAAAGGGGAGTTGTAGTTATAGTAGACTAGGATTGGACTGGAAGCAGTGAGTACATATGTGTCATGTGTATATATATATAATCATATTATATTATCATAGTATTTACTATATATATATATATATTTATTTATATTTATATGTGCATGTTTGTGGCATGATACGGCACGATTCATCTTCAAAATCCCCACATTCAGCGCCAGGAATCCGATGAATGCCTTTGATGAAGCGTCCTAGTCCTGGCCGTGGGGGCGAGGTGATGTTACATGGATATACATGGATAGGATAGGACAGGTTATTGGTTCTATCTACATGTAATTACAATAATATGAAACAGTATACAGTATACTGATATCATTTATATCTACCCATCTACAGTATCTGTCTGTCTTTCCATCTATGTATCTATGGCTAGTCGTCCCACTGTCCCACTTTGACACGCCACAGTCTGGGATGTCCTCGAACTGACTTTGATTTTCATACCATGGATGCAATCCATTTGAACATGTTTGAAACCTGAGTAGATAGGAGAGAGTGATCACCATTGCCAATTTCGGTTACTCAAATCTCCATATATTCGCTGGTCATACTAGTCATATTAGTCAACCCCTGCCAATTCAGCATCATTATCCATGGTAAATCGGGCATTTTCATAGGGAGATCATCTACAGTATCAATTGGATCACTTGGTGGTCCCCATGGTCCCCAGTCTGGGACGGCTGACATGGCCTGGAATGGGCAGTGGCGCGTGCAGCGTTTGAAAATGGAACGGATCAGCACCTGGGTTTGGGATTTCATGGAATGGTGCCAATGCGGTGCTGGGAAGACGCCTGGGAAGTCGCCTGGGACATGCCACATGATCAATACATGATCAATACATGATCACATGATCAATATCAACATGATACTGTAAAAGCAAGAGTTTCAAGGAATTTCATGGGTTCATCCATGTTCATCCAGAATCTTGAAGCTACTTGTCGTCTGGGAAAGTATTCGTGTCTGTATGATTCTGCTTAAACTGATCACAATGCAAACTGGGAAAGAAACACATCTCTGCTTGCTCGTCAAAGGGATTCATGAATTTATCCCATTTCGGAGATGAGAACTCATTGTGACTGTTGGACGGTTCTTAAGATCATCCCGCAAATGGTCCATTGTTGATTGAGCAGTCGCAGTCTAGTCAAGTTGGCACGTGCATCTTGTCCGGCATGGTCATTTCGGAGGTATCAACATGGCACTAGAAATCCCCAACTTCAACCGCTTTTCACTGTGCTTGCCATCCTGCTCTTGGCGTGCTTGCATTTTGAAGGGAAAGCATTTGGTGTACGCAAAGCTGCTGCCAAGTGGTTTCCCAATGTCAACCTTCTTACTGCTAGATTGAATGCATGTCTACCATAGTCCAAACAACCCTAAGGGGTCGTCGTCTTTGAACCCTGTCGTCGCTCGTGTGGCGCCAGGGGTGTTGGAGGAAAAACAAAAACACTAAACACTAAACCAAAAAATAGAAATCCCCAACTTCAGCCGGGTTTACCAATGGTAAAACCGCTTTGTTTTTTTCCACGCCTGCCACTGCTTGTTTTTCCACTGAGATCTCCCAACTGTTCATGTGCATTTCACAGCAGTGCTGGTGGAAGATGCTGCACCGCATTGCCACGGGGTAACCTGACCGCAATCTCGGCCCATCAGGAAATGGGGAAAGATTTAAGACGAAATGGTGACCACAGATTTTTGGTTTATTTTTAGTATTAACCATCAATTTTTAGGGGTACCCAGCTATAACCCATACCCAAATGATTCATCATGATTCATCCATCATTTTGACCAAAAGTCAGTATCAATAGTAAGTCGCACTCCCCAAACCGGCCCAATGCTTTGGTTGGGAACTCGAAGCTTGACAAACACAGCCTTCCCAGCAGCACGGTTTTTGAACGCTACATACAGGTTCCATTCTCATGATATGAATACATTATTCAATACATTACATTGCACCACACTTACATTTTATGTAAGTGTTATGTATGCCAAAATACATAAACCTTGCAAAGTACCCCCGAATCTGGTACTAACAATTGTACCAACTTCAGGGCTCCTCCCCGTCAGGACCCCCACATTCCCTGAAGGTGATGAAACAAATCTGGCGAGCCATTCTTGCCCAACAGAATTTCAAGACAAGTATATAAATTAATGGTCTTTGCATGTGGGCATAAGCCCATGGCATATCCGAGAAACCCTAATTATATCGGGGAGATACCAAACCTCTATAGTCATGGTTTTCTGACTACAGTTCATCACATAAATAAACCCAACGCCCCTAACCCTGAAGACTGTCCAAAACACACGCACAGTGCCAAATACGTATGAGACTAGTCCATTCCCTAGTGTATCCTGATTTTTCGATCATCGACATCTAATCTCGGAGATGCGGAATCCAGTAAGTGACTAATAATTTAACTCGGATACAACCCGTATATAAATATATATATATATATGTATATATATGTAGATATATACACATGTATGTATATATATATACACACATCCGGATACATTTCAATTATTCGCCAACCTGAAGTCAACCACCCAATTTGGGGATTATTTCCCTAATCTTCACCATCGTATTTTTTGAAAATAGTGTATATAGTTAGGGTGATAGCCACCATTGCAATGGGCTGCTACTTACGAAGCATCATGATAAACAACATAGATACATATATTTTTTATGTACATATATATATATATTATGTATAGATATGATGATGATTATTATTGTTATTACTATTTCCCTTAATTAACGTTATAAATCACCCATGTTTATCCATCACTGGCCAAGCCACAATCACCGCGCGTCACGGCTTCCTCCAAGTCCAGTCCCGCTGCCAAGTCCCACCTAAGTTGAAGGGCTGGTGAGGCCCGTGGCCTGCGATGGTTATCACTTGACATATTAATATGTGTGTATGTATATATATTACTGTACATTAGATTATTGTATTTATGTATATATTACATCATATTACTATGTATATATATATATACACATACATTATAATATGCACTTATATACACATATATGGTAGTCTATATCATTCTATATCCGTATGATGATAATGATAAAGATGATCGTCTCTTTATATGGGTGTGTATCAAATAGTATATCTTGCTGTCTGCTCCCCACATCCACGCTGGGAGGTTCTCCCATGCCTTTTTTCTGTATCCACAGTGAATTGTCAATGATATCCAAATGATATGAAAAACACTGGATGCTAATTCATCCAAAATAATGTCATATAGTTACTATTCATCCACTAATATCATTATTGTATTAATATTGTTATGATTTAATTGTTCATTTATCCGCAATTAATCATTAATTAAATTTAATTAATGGTTTCATCCATCAATCCATGAATACATTGTTATGAATATGTAATTAAGTTATTATTGATCGATTCTCAGGGAGTGGTCGCCACCTACCCGTGACTCCCCTGATTCGCAGCCCTTCTTTGCACTCGCTGTGCTACTGTCGCCGCTCGATTGCGAGAAGTATGGGTCAACGGCAGCATCAGAAGCAACGGAACTGTGAACTTGTAGATATTTTTAGAACAAATCCACAAGCAAAATATCCTGAACTGGTGGAAAAGCTTGAATCACTGTGTAATGGGGATACCACAAATCACCATGGTGGATGAAACCCGAAACTAATTGCAGTTGGCATGGCCAGCTCAGGAAATGGATGGCACCTTGACCTGCACTTCACGGAACTCAAGCCAAGTCTATCTACAATTGGCCAATTACCACTGCTGAGCGGGCCCCCTATGGCCTTGAGAAGATAACAGCAGGATAACTGGGGGAAACTGCGGACCCTCTTGCAGCAACTATACCATAATTCACATTGTTGCTGGCTCATCACATCTTTTGGATGGTTGAATCAATCTTTATTGGTGACATCATGGGAACCTCCACGCCCCGCAAAATTAGCAATTGGCCATATGGTACCAAGACAAATCTGCATAACCAATCATGAACCAGCAAGGCCTTCACTTTGGGCCCGTCACACAAGATGTCAACTACCTCGGCACTGGGGTACTGTGCCCACAAATAGTGCAGGAGGAATGATCGACATGTCAAACACATGAAGGTGTGTTGTATGTACGTAGAGAGGCTTGGACTCGGATACATACTGCTGTTTGTATCTGCATATTGTATATGCGACTGGTACATATATCTACATATACGTAGTATATGTGTATATGCTAAGGGTATCTAAGGATCATGTTATACATTATACAGTACATGGTAGTACATGCAGATAGTACGTATGTATATAGGTATGGGTCAAACATGGGGTACCAAGGAAGCCACAAAAACTGGTAGGGACCCTAGCCCTAGTACTAAATCATCCTATGGAGGTGCAGAAATATGATGAAATACCCAGAATGTATTGTCAACTCAGATTCTTACCATCCCCTAAGATGGCCCTGTGGTACCTAACAGGAAAACCCCATGTTTGAGGACAAAAAACACTGTTCCCGGTGATTGTCCCTCCAATCCATTGATTATGGTTGACTTCAACTTGCAATACATGGCAAACTGGGACTGGGATATTGAGGTCCATTGGACTTTCACGCTTGATCCGTGGCAAACTGGGATGCAAACTGAAAATTCCCAATATGATATCCAGGATGTCCGGACAGTAATTATAGTTGTATGCAACAATATGTATTTATCCCATGGTAAACTAATGCAGCACCGGAAATCGCAGATTTGAATTCAATATATATATATATATCATGCATGGATCCTAGTGCAGGATTATTCATTGCAATGCCGGATCATGGAGTTTGATTTGTTTGGCACATTAAAATCTGAATGCCAGCTGCAATTCCCCGTGCGGAGCAGACATTGGTGCCAAGCACTCACATACCTTGGATCGAGGAAATCGGGCTGGATAGTTGGACCTTCAAAATGGTGAAGTGTTGGGGTTTCCAAACTTCGACCATCTTTTGGAGTTGGATGGATAGATTTCAAGGAGGCAATGATGTCCCCCCCCAAAAAAGATTCATCTACAATGAAAAAAAAGACAGACTGAAGCTGTTCGCTCTGAGCCACTGATTTCACCTTGCCTGAAGCCTCCACATCTTCGCGATAGCGCAATATGGGAAATTTGGGATCTGTACAACTGTGCGCCACGCCCTTGTCATCCTCAGTTCGGTGATCAAGCCACAAGGTGCCAAATGTCAAGATCGCCATCTCACAAATCTGGTAGCTGGTAAAAGGAGAACAAAATCCAAGTTTCATGTCTGTCTCGGCATGCCTGGGTGATTCCCTGGAAGAATCTAAGGTGATCTCCATGAATCGAACTATTGGAATAAGGGATGGGTGAAAGCTACCCTCCGATGAAGCCTCAAGATGCATCCCTGTGATGACAACATTCTTAATATTTCCCAGGTCCTGTGCACTGAGCAGCCACCATGCCAGTCCACATCCCCCCATTCAGGTCAGATTCCCAGCAAGGATGGTGTCTGCAGAAACATTGTTTTTTCTTTTCATCAAAGTCAAGGATAGGGTAGTCTGGAGTACCTTGGTGTCAGAGCCATGAGAAGTTGAAACCTGTGGCTGATTGGCACGCACCACACTGGAAGTCCCAAGTTTTGAGGTGCTGCTGAGAAGCAAACATGTGAATGAAAAAAACAACACCATGCAAAATCCTGCAATCCTAGGGGGTTCTGAGACGTCAATCTAATTGAAATCCCCAAGCCATGTGTTGTTTCCTAATGTCTATCTTATATACATATAGAAATCTGGGAGAAGATAGAATAGGACATTGAAAACCCCTGCAAAAATTGGAACATGTTTGACATGCCATATTCGATCTATTTCAGGATTATTATTATTATCAGTATTAAATTGTTCTTAATATATATATATAATATAATATATAAATATATATAATATAATATATATATATAACATATATATATATATAATATATATATATTATTGGGGGATGGATTGAAACCTATTGTACCTTGGGGGGATGAATCTCCACAATTTCCAGTTACTTTGATGTTGACCAGGGATTCCATGGGTTTTGATCCGCAACCATTTAATTTAGATACTATCTGGCAATCTGACACCGCTTGCCCCGTGAAAGTAGATGATGTATCTATTCTAAAAAAAATGTTGGTTTTCCATGGCAAGCCGTATTCGACATTGCCAGAAATGTCCCCATCATACCTCTAGCAATAAATCTATTAAATGTATTCTAGATGATCTTCCTATATCTTCCTATATCTTCCTATATCTTCCTATATCTTCCTATATCGTCCTATTAAAACATAATCCATATTAATCCATCTAGGTCCTGGGTTTCAAAGTTTTCCTGGCCATGATGTTTTGATGCCAAGCAGCAGTGATGACCTGGACACACCTTTCTGCGGTTGTGATAGGAATGCGAGCATCCAACAGCATTAGGCTTTGTTGACATAAACAGTGCGTCAACATAAATGGTTAAAACATGTTAAAACCATCAAACTATATAAATCTATATAATAGAAATAAAATCATGTAAAATCAATATCACCATGCTTTGTTTTTTTATTATTATATAACCACTGCAATCATATGTGAACACGAAACCGTGTTTCAACTGACACCATATCCACTGAAGGGTGCCTGAAGTTTGGGATGACCGATTACCCTCAAAGTTAGAAGGACATCACAAGCGGACCTTCTGGTAGGCAAAGCCTTGTCAGTCACTTTCGATAGTACCGCTCATGAAAGTTTAAGAGCCAAAGCCACTGTAGAAAATGACAGTCATGCTCTGGAAAATCCATGATCAGTCCCATCTTACCCAAAGTAATCTACAACATGTATCCTTCCCTCCCAAACATATCTAACATCTCGGGGTACCTACAGTACTGTACCAGAATCTACCATCAAAGTCGCCATCGGCATTGTCACATTTTGGGCTTGTGGCCTCCTTATTGACCCTTCCCTATCCACTGTGAGTGGGAGATGTTCGTTGGTATAATCATCCTCCATCCCGCACCAGGACAATTTCTGATTCACTAAGCTTTTCAATCAGCTCATTTGGAGGTTTCCAAAAATAGTGGTACCCCCAAATCATCCAAGTCATTAGACTATTTTAGTATTGAAACCCATGGTTTTGGGGATTACCAGCTATGACTGGGGGAAATCAACGTCCAGCTATACCAGCTATGACTTAGGATATTAAAAAATGGGTACCAGGGTGACTCATAACCAATTGGTGATGATTTGTTGATTACCCTTCTTATTTGGTGATGAAAATAATTGGTCAATAGGGTCAATCCACTGGCTGGTGATGGTTAATCATTCACTAACCTTTTCAATCAGGTCATTTGGGTGCGTTTGAACATGAGGTAATTATGGCAATTATACCCTCCAAATCACCATTCTATTGGTCATAATGATTCCAATCCATTGGAATTGGGGGTAACATGGGGTAACCCCATTTTAGGAACCCCCCATTTGGTGATGATTCCCCTTATTAACCATCACCAACCTCCGTGGCGTCGACGTTCGATCCCACCTTTTTGCTCAAGTGGATGGTTCCATAGTGCGGCTCTGCGCTGCAGCCGCAGTGTAGCGCGCCCTTGTTGTCCTCGGTGACCCCTGATATATATAGAGTTGAACCAGCAAGACATCTGGACTTAAACCAACAAACATTGTTGTTTTGAATTTTAGCTGCTTTTACTGTAGATGTTTCTACATCTTTCTGGATGTTTTTAGCCAGAAACATGGGAAGGTATCCCATGGACAACAAACCTGGCAATGGAATGTGTCCTCTTTTCAAAATAGATGAATGACCCAAGTGTTGTAGCCCCAATTGGTGAACTGGAAAATCCCACGCGGTTCGGGGTGACAACTCTTCATCGAAAGCCCGGAAGATTTCAGCAACATCGCTCGGTTGGTGGCTTCGATCCTCAACAAATGATTCAAAGACATCTCATATTTCCTCACCATTTCCTCATCATTTGGATATTCAGAGTAATCATCCCAAGAAGAACGGCAATGGTTTCAAACCAATTCTTTCTCACACCAGGTTGAATCGACACAATGATCCCAATGAAGTGCCAAAGCATCATAGTAAAAGGACAGGTACTTGTCCTTAGAGGCGTGCTGGGCCTGCCCTTGCCCAAAGGACAAGCGAAGTTTCATTAAACATTTCGAGGAGCATACAGAATGCAAGGAGGATATATGTGAGGATACATATAACGACTTCATGACCTCACAAATTGCGGACTAGATCTAATCAAACATCTCCATCCTGTTGGTGATTGCAGGATATAATCAACAATGAGTATGGGCCAAATTGGAATTGGATGGTTTGTTACAGATCACACAACTCTGTGGTTTTCAAAAAAGATCTCCAAGTTTTCTCCATCACCACCCAGGTCCGAAACCGCCCAAGAATCTTCTTTCCTGTCTCCTGGACACTTATGCACCACACCCTGGTCGTTCCAGCAAGGATGGGCGTTGCAAACGCATCCCCTGGGCCGTTGGGACGCTGATTGCCGGGGTGCAGATGGAAGGCACATGAAGGCACACAGATGGAGGTACTCAAAGATATCGCAGGCACTGGAAATGCCACCCTGCTCTGGTACGAATGAGCTCATGTTCAGAGACTCAGCCATATTCGGAGCATCAAACATGGGGCCCTTGGTATATTTTGGCATGGCTTTTGTTGCGGCTGGGATAATTCTTTTTCGTTGCAAGCAGCTTGATGTGAGGCGCCCAATCAAGGATGGGAAATTTCGCCTCAGCGGCAGATGTTTGAATTTTTGGCAAACATGAGACATCAATGATATAGGTTGATGATTGTCGGATGAGTCCTGATAAGATGTGTATACAACATATATATATATAATTATACATATATTGATATATATATATATATATCATATACAACGTATATAAATATATATACCGTATAATTACAGTATATATATATAGAGAGATTTGGAACCGGATGCAAATTATGAAGGAAGAAAGAAAACAATGATGGGAAATCATGGTCCTTCACTGTCATATCCTCTGGTTTTGGGCAAACAGGGGCAAGTTGAAGACCTGGAACTCAACAGCCCAGAAGCCAATGGAAATTCACCGATTCCAAGAGATTCCAAGAGTGGAATGGCAGCCCTTCCCCCCTCAGCCAAGCGACGTCAGAGCAAGTGTGGCCTCTACAAAGCCCAGCCATGTAGAGGCTACTTCCCCAAGATCCAGTTGCTGAAGCCAGCAGAATGGACCATCGCATCCTGGCGTTTTTCGCTGCCCAGAACTGGACCTGGCCTGTCCCGTGCTTCATGCCCCCGTGCTTCATGGCTTTCTTGTCATGCCTTTGTCCCACCAAACACTCAATCAATTCAGATCCGGAATCTAGAAGTAAGTTACACTTGGAAAGAAGCAACTTGTCAATCCTATCCTTGGTGTGGTTCTGCTGAATGAACCCATCTGAGTGTGTCTGAAAATGGGTTAGTGACACACTCATCTCTACGGATTCACATGTGCCATCGTCGAAACATAGTTTTTGGATGTTTTTGGGGTATTGTCGTCCCACCATTAGAAGGGATGCATTATAATGGGTGAATATATACAGTATATATATATAGATATATGATATATGTATACACATACTACTGCAATATTAAAAATCCCTATCAATGGATTGATGACCATCCCCGAATCCAATTCAGACCCAGCGGCATGTCGCTCATGCTGCCAGGTTCTAGCGGCGCCAAGTCTTTGAGCCAAACATCTATGAGATTCCATGGGAAAAAAACGTGGAAACATCATCGAACTATCTTTCTATGTCTGTTTTTTCTATGGGAAAACGGGAAAAATATGGGAAAACTCATCTTGGACTTGGGGATAGCCCATTGACCAAGTTGAACGATGGGTCTGACCTAGAGGGGTTGCAGATTCAAAATGATTCAAATGGACTCTCCCTTGAAATTTCACTTGGAAACGCACCAACAGGAAGACCTTACCGCAATTGCCGCAGGATGAGACCACACCAATATTGGGATCGCCGGAGGGCTCCGTAAGGAATACATCCACGATGCCTAAAATGTCTTTGTATCTGTACATAAACAACCATAAACAACACATAACTATAGTTGATGACGAATAAGAAACGCTGTGGAGGGAAGGCAGAACCAGGCCACTGTGGTGGTCGTCCTTCAGCATCAAACCAAATGAAGATTCCTTAGCAGCATGGCCCGGTTCTAGCAGGGCGAAGCCAATATCAACCGAACAGACTGATTTAAGTTCATTTAGTTAGCTGATACAGATACTATCAGATACTATCAGATACTCATTTATATAAGGTCCCAGCTCTCTCGTCAAAGGGTTTTTATTTATGTTATTCAGAATTGCACAGGTGAGATGCCAATCCATCATACAGAAGCAGCAAACTGAGCTGAGATTGCAAAAAAAAGAATAATCTAAAAGGATCGGATAAGGTGATTTATCATGGAATCATCTCATCATCTTTAAAAAATACTACATATACATATTATATAATATATATATATATATGTGATTATACGTGTATATATATACACAAATCCCCACTTTTTGGTTGATATATGTTGATAGTCTCCCGTTTCTTGCCATCAAAATTCACCCATTCAACGGTCGGAACGGTTCCCACTAGGCCTCCCAACGCCCCAGGAGTTCTCGCGTCTCGTAGGCTTTGATTTTGGCACCTCATGAGATTGAAAGATGTTTTTCAGTTCTATGGTCACTTTAGATCTCTTTAGTTCTGTATGGTTTCTATTCATAACTTGGGTGTTTACATGGAAGACTGTCGTTTCTTGTTTTCAATGTACCGAACGTCGAGCACCGTCCAAGTTGTGACCAGCGGTTTGTGATGCTTTGTCCGTGTACGATACATCCGCTATACAGTTTGTGTACCGGTCAAAGTCAAAGACAACTAAACAATCTTAAACAATCAAATGTTGGGCATTCGTGCGCCATCCAACTTGGATTCATTTCGATTTGAGAATAGTAATCACCTTGCTCTGTAAAACCAATATCAGTAATATCAATGTCTGGTTTCAAGTGAAGCCTCCTAGAAGCAGGATTGAACTCTTCAATTTCAATGGTTTGGTCATTTGTCCAGATGAAACGTGCTCAAATTCAACCATGATACGGGGACTGGCTACATGACTGGCTCAAACAATAGCTACTCTTGAGGCCCAGTTCTGGGTCGGCCAAAACCTCACCTCGCCATGGAATGTTGGTTGAAACCTCACTCTACCTGGATTCTATCATGGTTACATCATGTTACACCACTATTTCGTGGTTAGAGAACTCTGCATCGTGCTGCTTCAATCCCCATCTCTTGTTGGTCAGATTTTCTGGGTTAGTCACCCCAATTTGGCCCCTTTTTGGCTGGATTCACAATGGTTGACAGTCAGTTGACAGTTTTAAATCATGCTGAGTCCCCATGTTGGTAAACTTCCCGGTTATTTTTATGTCTGCGAAGTAGTTAAGTCATGTCAATTCCCGTTTCTGCGTTGACAGATCCCGTTTCACAACTGCGCCCCCATGCTACGCCTTCTTTCACTTCCTCCGTCAAGCGGGTGGTGTACGGAATCCGGTGACCTCGGCTCAATGAATCTCAAAAGGTCCAATGTGTTTTTTCTCCAACACAGAACAGAAATCAAGGCCCAGAAAAAGGCCCAGAAAACGCCATCATTTGTTTGAACCACCTAAAATACATGAGAAAAAAAAGAGTGTTAACGTTCATTCACACCCACTCATCGCCATCCATCACCATCCACGACTGCCAAGAAGCATGTTCCACTTCCGTCAAAGGACCAGCCGTGAAAGGGGCACTGGATAGTGTTGCCCACCACCTGCACAAATGTCTGAGCTCCAAATTGATTCTTCACTGAAATGGGGGAGTATCCATTTCTTAGGCAGGAAATATAGGAAATCTTGACTACCAGGATGGAACACACATTTGTTTGTCTTGTTGCTGGGCCGTGGAATATACTTGAACATCTAGAATCTAGAATGCAAAAGAACCATGAACTCAGTGGTGTCTGCCGTCATACCAAGTGGCAATGCTGACCTTAGAGCCCCCCCACAAAAATTCTCCGTTTTAGGAGCACATATCTATCAAAATCATCAATTTCCAGTGCAGCAAAGAAGATCATCCGCTGCAGTACGTCAGAAACATTCCTTTTCGCCATGCCATTCACCAATAATGAGGGAAAACCCAGTGGCCCAACCATCCCCAATCAGATCAATCAGGGTTTATCATTGGGTTTAACAAACCCATCCATCGCGATGTAAAGTCAGACTCCCCCGTCGAACTCGACAGGTTGGCAGGTCGGCCTGGCCACCAAATCCCAAGTGTGCGCCCATGTGGGGACAGAAGGCATCCAGCACTGCAGCCTTTTCAAAAGAGCGGAGATCAGGGAATGGATTATGATGGATTATGATGGATTATGATGGATTATGATGGATTATGATGGATTATGATGGATTATGATGGATTATGATGGATTATGATGGATTATGGTGGATTATGGTGGATTTTGGCTGTTCAATGCTTTTCATACATCCCATGTACTTGCGGGTTTAAGCATCAAACGTGGCAGATTTCACAAGGTATCACTATGATATTATGGGAATTGGTGCTTGATCCACCTCCCTGCCAAATACTGATGCTTGTCAATGGGTCATCCCACTTGTTAGGACATCAAAGATATGTACAAACCACCACCCAGATCCAACCAGTATTTTGTAGTGTTAACCGTTGTATCCATTTTTCTGGCAAATTGCAAGACGCCACATTACCCGCCAAAACCTTGAATCCTGGAATGCGTTCGACAATCAAAACTTCCCTTTTTGCTTGAGCATTTGGCAACTGTCTGAAAATAGGGCATCAATTCCAATGTGTTATCACAATTTTCCCCGGTCAGTGGCCGTTTGGAGCATCCCCTCTCTTCATCTATTTTCAGACACACCCATTTATGAGTTGAAACTTCAAATAAGGTGACCATCAGCCACTAAAAATCTGGACCATTAAGGTACACCGTCGGAATTGTCAACCATTACACTCATCCCATGGACACAAGCTGCATCTGCCCAGACCCCCCCACCTTGCCGTCAGCGCCCCGGAAGGCCACCAGTTCGGTTCCCAATGCGCTGATACTCTTCACTTGTCCATCGGTCAGATCTGCTGCATTGCAAACCGCCTTTGTACAGAAATCGGATGGGGATGGAAACAGAATCCAACAATTGATACCCTCTGGTAAACTAACATAGCTATGGAAAATCACCATGTTTAATGGGAAAATCCACTATAAATCACAATTTTCAATAGCTATGTTAAATTACCAGAGGGTAACAAAGGTGGACTGAAATTGGAGAATAGAAATTGGATGATGGGAACAGAATGTTGAAACATGTTCAAAGCCAGGGCTGTACCAGACCCAAGTCATCCGAATTGTACCAGGCCGTTGGCCTCTCGGCCCAGGTGGATCAGGGTGCCAAGCCGAGGGACATGCCAAGTATTAGGAAATCCTGGAGGAAAGTGTTTCCTGAAGGCATTGTGGAAGGGGATGTGGCTGGTCCTTTCTAAAAAATGGAGGGGTAGAACGAGAAAAACATTGGGAAGTAGCTAACCCAAATCTATACCCAACTGGAATGATGCACTTTGGGCCAGATTGTACCTCAACTTTTTACCTTTTTACATCTTGTATCATCTTTTCACATCATTGACCCATTGGTCGTTCCATGCAGGGGCTTGCCCGCAACTGATGCCTAAGCTTACGCCATCAAACGAGGGTGGCTCAGTTTGGGACCTGAGAAAGGATGAGAAGGGGGGCTTCGTATCTGGAAATGGCATCTATGTCTGCTTGGTAGTTTCAACCATTTCCAGCCTCCTGGAAAAAAATACTTCATTGGGGATGAGCCTCCCATTTTGTCTTTGACGGTCTATGAAATCACCAAACACTTTTAATTTCTTGCATCCCTGTTTTGCCAGTTGTCTATAATGTCTATATATCCACTGGTTGATGAACCTTCTCTCGATTATTTGATGGTTCGATATCAATCCCCGTTTGGCTATACTTGCATGTGTTCTTCAGACTAATAAACCCTGGTGGATTCAGGATCCGGGGTACCTACTTGAAACCTCCAGCCAGGTGTGAATCGAATCCTTCCGATGATGTTTGTTGCTCTATAAAGCCCATTGACTATAGAATAAAATAGATATCTATAGATATATCCACATGAATTCTCCACCAAAAACCCAAGAATTTGGACCTAAAGAAACCAACCTAGCTATCCTAGCTTAGCTAATTTTTCAAATCCCATTGGATCCAATGAAATCGAGCCATTTTTGCAATCGACTCCATCGCAGTTCTTCCCAGCTTCTGCTGCAGTGCTTTGAAGCGGCTGGACCGGTTGTCGAAGTGCTCTTTGGTCTTCCTCGTGGCGGACCGGGGTTGGAAAATTCCTTGGGCTCAGTGGGCCCTTTAGTAGTAAACCATGGATAGCTGTGAAATCCCTTATTGATGGAGGCTTTAATGGGAAAAAATATGGAAAAATATGGGAACACTCTATAAATGGAGGTTTTAATGGGAAACTCGTCGAACCAAATGGGCGATTTTCCCGCAAGCCATGTTTGATATTGTTTGATTACAGGAATGTAGTATATTGTAGTATAAGGAAATCACAGGGAATAGTTACCAACAACTGCTGAACAGACTCAAACCCACAAAAGCCTCTCAGACTCTCCATTTTTCTTTACCTTTCGAAAAGAATCTCGGCAGTTTCCCAGTCAAACCAGTTGACATCCTACATACTGTGTAGATGGGAAATCCCCACTGACAGGGCATACCATTGCCGGTGGAAAAACTCAACTGTTTGGGGCCCAACTGATCTTAGATACTGTGTATCTTCTTGATCGGAGTAAAGTATGTATGTATAATTTCGGATTTATATCGTATTGTCTATAACATATATATGTGTATATATTACATGAGATTACCACTTCTGGCCAAACAATGACCCACTAACCTACCATACCAAACGACCTTTGGCCTAGACGGGATGCAATGTGCTGTGGCTACAGAGCACACAGATGGTTCTATATATGGGTTTGTCTGGAAATATGATGCCCCAATCCATCCATGGGTTTATCATAATTTTCCCCATAAAATAAACATTCTTTGGATATACGCTATACCCCATTTTCAGATACACCCAAATTCTTCGGGGCATTGCCGTTCTAAAGGACAAAAACACCTGCAGACATTTGCGGACATGGTGAGTTTGCCACTCAGAGACTCAGCCTTTTGTGCAGCCACAGGGCTGTTGCTTCGGTGTCAGAAGGAAGTTGTATGCTGCAGCCAAGCAGGCAGTGCCAATGGCATATCCTGGGCTCGGGCTTCCCCTAGTGACTCACCAACCACTTCCAGCCGCTCAGTGCGACCAAGCATCTTCCCAACTTGCTATCACCTCACTGTGCGGAACAATGTGCGGAACATGCCACTAGGTGTAAAAAGATTTGATTTAAAGTTACAGCATAGCCCTGCAACTAGGCTCGCATGTGATATGTGAATATACACCTATACATATAATATATATATATATATAAATCAAGAAAATATTATACGCATACTATCTCATACACATATAATTCATATACATACTATATATATATACAGTATATGTATCATAGATTATATATAGAATATATACCTGGCTAATTGGGCCGCTCCCAGTGCCCAGTGGTGCCCAGTGGTGCCCAGTGGCACAGAGTCGACACACCAGCCGTCAACAAACCTGGCAAAAATGGCACCTCCGCCATGGGAAAATGATGGATTTTCCAGATACCCTCTGGTTATGTCAAAATAGCTATTGAAAATGACCATTTATAGTGGATTTACCCATTAAACATGGTGATTTTCCATAGTTTGTTGTATGTTTACCAGAGGGTAGCTAATGAGAAATATGATGTGGCTGTATCTGGAAAATTATCTGGAAAATGATGGTATATAGCTATCATATAGTACCTCTCTCCTTGAGATAATGATAGGTTTATTGAAATATGGCCATTTGGGGATTCCATTTTCAGACAGACCCAATGGTTATAGACTGTAAAAAATATATCGTTTCAAAATTGGGTTATCGGTTATCATGTCCAAAATCTAAAAGAAATGTCAAGTAATCTCATTACATACGTTGTGTAAAAATGGTTTTCCCATGGTTTCCCATAAAATGGTCATTTCAAGGAGGAACATTGTTCTCCTGACCATTGGACTTGTTTTTTTATTCCAAACGTTTGAAACAAGCCACCTTGACAAACAATCACTGCTGAACATGCACTGAGTGTAACCGGTAATGAAGTCCCCTATACCATCCTATACCTACTAGTGATACAAGTGGTTATTGATACCCTCTGGTAAACTAACATAACTATGGAACATCACAATTTTTAATGGGAAAATCCACTATAAATTGCCATTTTCAATAGCTATGTTAGTTTACCAGAGGGTACACACCACTCAAAAAACACCTTGGAATGTGGTGGATCCCGTCATTTGGGCGGAATCTGTGCCAGATTCAGAGCTAAACCCGGCACCTGAAGCCACCTCAGTCAACGTCTTCGAAAGGCACAAAAAAAGATGAAAGGTCAGAAAATAGGGCAGAAATCATAGAAGTTCATAGAATCAAACAGCAGCAACAACTGTGACTTGAAGGGTCCAGTCAAACCTCATGGACCCATCCCAACATGTCTGTCGTGCATGCAGGCGGCTGTCTGAACGTCATCTGCACGAGGCGCCATGGGCACGAAGAATCCGTGATGATTCAGGGTGACTCCAAGGAAATCGCTCAGGTCAAGGTCGGTGGATCATGTGTTTTTGAACCTTTTGTGAAGGTCATGGCTTCCGAAAATATTGATTTGTTCCACTGCCACCGGCTGGCAAGATATTGACGAGAGTTCAAGTGAACATTAATTTATATGTCATGTTTTATCATGTTTTGTCAAAGTCATGAGTCCCAGGCGGGCCTGATGCAATGTGGATATCTGTTTTCAGAAAGATCAGTCAAAGGAGGACCTGATCCACACTCTCAACCCGATGTAACAAGCTATCGCGGCGCTGTTCATGACATGGAATTCTGTCAATCTTTCGCCAAGCTCAGCTTCAAACAAGCTGCGGCGCTAGAGTCACTCAACGAAAAGCTGGCGACAAAACATCTTCTGAAAAGCTGGCTACACCCTAAAGAAAAGGTTCAAGACCGGTAGATAGTGGGCAACAAAGAAAGGAACAAAAACATGACAGCCATGCATATCATTTTCTGGAGCAGGGGGTGGATGAGGGATCTTCCGCAGAGGGGGCAGTAAGTTGCAACCCCACTTGTCAGCGAAAAATTGCCTTGTTGCATGCTGGTTTGATACATTTCACGGGTCGTGCCTATTTGAACCTCTTTAGGGCCACCTGCCATGTGCTTCTAGCACGTGATCGCTAAAAAGTTCCACTTCAGGCTTTAAGACCGCAGGTCCGCGATATCACTTGTCAGAACTTATTGGTTTCTTTCATAAACCACCCTCTTTGACTATTTGGAACACAATCCCGAATAGGAATTGGTAGGACAATGATGTCCTTTGGGAGACAATAGAGAGTCGGTTTGGAATGTACCATTGACCATCATGTATTTATCTGTGGATGCCAAGCATTCAATGAAAGTTAACCCGTGGATTCTCCGCTTTCAGATCTGGCTCTGACCAAGCCACTCACCAAGCCCGGGTTTCCCCGATATGTTTGTTTGCACATCAACATACAGCAACCCTCAAGAATCGGGCCCACTTTCAAACGCGAACATGGGAATTGCCAACCAACACCAACCAACACCCCATTGCCCCTGACCAAAGATCAACCTTCGGCGCACTCCACGTCTTTGACGGTCCCGGAGTTCTTGCCCACAGCTGGCGGGGTGAGTGCTTACCCATGAACTAAACCCAGTTGAATTGGATGTCGTCAGTACCCATAATTTTTAACCCAAAATAAGGTTCGTTATTGAGTCTATCACCTTGTACTTTCACGTACAAACAGTCAGTTCAACGGTTCATGAACGGATGTCAAAAGCTAGGGGGTTCTATGATTGTATGGAACATGCACGTAAGACGTCAGTGACTCTGCAAGGAGAAGGCAACATGATCAATCTCATCTCCTGCAATCATCTCAAACAGAAACAGAAAAACACCATTAATTCCGCCAGTGGCACTGTACAAAAAAAGTAGACTTGGTGCACCACAAGTCCATTTAATTTCCAGCACAGAGGACCTTTTTACACGGGAATCATAAGTTGTCAGTCATTTGACCCTGGTACCCCAGTGATTACAGTATTCCTAACAGAACGTTTGTTGTCTTGGGACGTTTCCACCAATGCATTCCATTTTCGGTATGTCGAAATTTTGATCCTGGATTTTAATTGGATGTGTCTGAAAATGGAAGTATCCCCATATGGCAATTTCCATGGGAAACCCTTGGCTTTTAGGGGTGCCCTATTCTCAAACAAACCCAAATGTTTTTTTGAAGGTTAAATTCCTTGGCCCAGAAAATAAAGCCAGGTTGTCCCTCGTCTAGCTCGACACCAACCCACACCTCGGCTGGTTTCGCAGGAAGTAAACAACATGAACCAGACTTTGACCATCTAGAACGGGAATCGGAAAATAGCAATCACAGTTTCAGCAACAACGTTTGAGCAACAACGTTTAAGCAACAATTTCAACAACGACGACGACGACGACGACGACGACGACAACGACACCGACAGCGACAGCGCGACAGAAACAGCAACAACAACAACAACAACAATCTCAATCACAATCACAACTTTAACGACCACGGCTGCGACCACAACCAAAACCAAAACCGCAACAACAACCACAACAACAACACCGATGAAAAGGTGATTGTTGAAAAACGGTCAGCAAAGCTCCTCGCGGCTAGGGATTTTACTCATGCAATTAAATGTGTCACTAATGGTGTGCATGGTCAAATTGTGCTTTTATACAACACTATCAATAATATATATATATAATTATATATGCATATATATATATATATTAATTCATCAAATTTATATTGACTAATATTATTATAATGATTAATAATGTATATTTAATTATACAGGTATAGCAATGATCGCAGAATATCGCCGATCAGTTCTTAGAGAGACTATCTCTATAGGCCTCTGGCAAGGGATCACGTGGAGGTGTTTTAGTGTAGATGCACAAATGACTACAATATGTCATAGATTATTAATTCAATGTGTGCGATTTGGCAGTTAAGTACTAGAACACATTCGGATTCAATGACAGCCACTTCGCTGGTCGTTAGTAGTGCAGCAACACAGTAGTAAAAGGCATAAGTTCTATGGAAAACTGCCCAAAAAATACACACCTGGCCTGGCAACTCCCATCCGTCCCATCTCCTGAGGTTCCAAACCCCTGGGGCAAACTGAGTGTTGCCACAGAAGCGGACCGTGCCCAAGCGGCCAACAATTGTGACCTGAAGCAACCGGAATTTTACGAAGTCTTTGCTATTGGGCGCTTATGTTGTTTAATGATTTTGATGTAAATGTCTTCAAATCAACACGCATCACGGATCATAACGGCATGCTTGTATAGTGTAAGCTGAGCCGCAAAAAATACACACTAACCTTTTTTGCCGAAGTGACAAAAACACTTTACTGTCACCTAAAAGCATAGTTGCATTCCGAAGTTGAAACTTGCAAGTCTTTATTAGATGTTATTAGTCTTTTCTTAAGTTGTCCAAAGGATCATCAAAAAAACGCCACAGCGACTGGAGCTGCTGATGATCAAGAAGGCATTGGTGGAGGCTGAGCGCAGTGTTGAGCTGTGGCCAAAACCTGGGTATTATTCCATTATACATATAACTATTAACATCCATTGAATTCTATTAACATAATTATGTCTTCCGCGAGCACTTCCGTGCTACTTCCGCGGCCACAGTTTTCACTTCCGCGGAAGGTGCCCGACTATAATTCACTTCCACGCTGCTTCCGCGGCGCATTGCCCAAAAACAATTCCGGGTCTCTAGATAATGTGTCAGTTCCTCCTCCTCCTCTCCTCTTCTGCTCCTGCTTGCCTCCTCTCATAGCCAGCTGGCAGACGCTCATTGCCCAAAATGCTGTGTGCCCCAGCACCAATACCATGGACTCTGTGTTCCATCACGCCTCCTGCCAAAACCAAGCTCCCTGGCAACTATGGCCTACAAATGCCTACAGTATTTATATAGATAGGGGCTTGGAATTGCAATGTTTGCTTCGGCTGGGCTTCCACGAAGCTTCCACACCGCTTAAATTCGGGTTGATTTTCCCCGTTTTGGAGAATTAACATCAGATGGTGGATGCAGGAAGCACTTTTCCGGGGGTTCCGCGGCGCTTCCGCGAACCCTGGTTTTCAGACCCCTTCCACGAAAGCTTGCGCGAAGCTTCCGCGCTGCGGGTTTCGACTTCCGCGAGGTCATCGTATTGAATACATGGGGGTTTTGGTCGCTGCTCAGTTTGAAGTCACCTTGTCTTCTCATTGGAGGTTGCAAAAGTCGAGGCGGACCTTGCCCTATTGTCCATTTCCTGGCTTCGTTTTTCATCACTGACCTAGTTTTCAAACGCCGCGCTTCCTTTTTATCTTTTCAAGTCTTCAATTCCGGCCAACCGTTTCTTTTTCAGGCGAACCCTCCTTGTTTTGCACGTCATTCCGGGCAACGGAAAGTAAATGTGGGCAAATGGAAGCAGCTGCTTGTTGCTCAAATCAAGTCTTAAATCCCCACGCCTGCTATACAACACCATTTCACATTTTTCACGCGAATATACAATCATATACATATCCCAAATGGCATCCTATGCCAGGTTCATAAATTTCGCTCCAACCGAGGAACCCTCTGCCCATTGGCAAAGGTGGGCTCGGACATTGTTGGCCTGGGAGATTGGCACCACATCATGGGGTTTGAATCAGTGCATGAGGGGTTGCTATATGATCCACACAGCATAAGATTTTCATCCAGAATCAACAGTGCTGTATATCTTGAGGCTTGCTCATCAGCACACATGCAGATCTTAAGCTATTCGATCAAAACACATGTGGCACACGTATTTTTTTTCACAAACGAGAACGTACGGACTTTGAGCTTATCTCTCAACGGCTCCCAGATGTGAAGCTATCTTAACAACAACAGCAACAACAACAACAAAGACAAAGATAAAGGCCTTTTAAGTTCTTGCTCACATAAAATTCCAATGAACGGCGCAATCCAACCAACAAATTCGATCTCGAACAGCAAATTGGTATGGACAAGAAGTGGAATTTAAAGCAACAAACATTAGATTGAAGGGATTTTAATCAACATCGTAGATGGTTGGTTAAATTCAGTTTTGGGTCTCTACCTTGACTTGTAAACAGTTACTGGATGTTCCTGGCGAGGTCGTTGATGATGGGATCTGCACTTTGAACATTCAACCAACTTCCGGCATCGTCCTGTTTTTATTTCGTTGGGGTGTGATTGATTTTATATGTTTTAATAACGAATTAATGCAACATATCACCATCCATCATCCTGTCTGGGCCCGCTGGCAGCTGGGAGGCAAGGGAGCATTGAGCGCTTTATCAAATTGTTGCTGGTTGTAGAACCATGGATCTTTCTGGCATATCATTGTTGTATATGGGGAAGTCTGAACGAAAGACATAGAGATACATAGAGTTGTTTGTTTCATTCCATGAAACTGCTGTAGCGACTTTGGACTCACCATGCTGAGAATGCATTGTCCAACTCTCCTATCATGGCTTAAGTAAATCTT